AAGAGTAATACCAGGAATTTCTAAAATGCATGGAATTACATATTCGCCTTCTGGTTTAAAATTTTATAAAAATGCTGTAGCACCAATAAAAAGAAATCTTAATACCAGGGCAATTAACACCACAAAAAGTGTTGGAGGAAATTGGGTTGTTGTGAAATATGATAATAGTTTATATGCTGGAGAAGTTACGCAAGTGCTGGGAAATGATATTGAAGTTTCTGCCATGGTAAAGCCTGGAAAATATTGGAAATGGCCTAAACGGGAAGATAAAGTGTTTTACAACATGAGGAAGTTGTTAAAGTTACTCAGCCACCTACAGTTATAAATGCTCTTGGAGTTTTTGATTTTCCCGATTTTTAGAGAAATCTAAGTTATGCACGGGACATGAAAATAAGTGCTAATTTTTTATCTAATATTAAACTTAAAGGAACTTCCTTTGTAATATAAGTCAGTACTAAGAGAAAGAAAGTAAAATTGAAGCAGTTTCTGTTTTGCCCTAAAAATAAATGAGAAAAATAAAAATTATCATGTTTTTGTGTTATGCACGGGACAACCAATTTTTGCTCCAATAAATTTTTATTTTTTACATAATTTTAATATGATTTTTAAATTTTAAATTTATTTTTAAATAAGAGCATTATAATGATATATGAAAAAAAAGACGAAAATTGAAATGCTATAATATTTTTTCAGCTAAGGAAATAAATGTAAATATGTTGATTATAACAAGAAAACTTAAAAAGTACAATGCTAAATTTTAAGAATTGATTCCATAGTAAAAATTTAAATATAACTATAATTGTATCTCATTTTTTAAGATTTAATCTATGTACTTTATTATTGAATAAATTAAAAATATGTACAAGTAAGATAAAAATTGAGGTTTAGAGTGTTTACAGTGGAGAATGGCCCATATTATTTATCGACCAAATGAATTGAATTATATAAATAAAACGTTAAATTAAAATACGAAGAAAGAAAAATTAGTACTGTGTATTGAGCTCTCCAAACAGGACATGTGGTATGAATATTATCATCCATTCTCAAAGGAACTGTAACATCCCAAAACTAAAACAAAAGAAAAAGAAAACACAATGTGTATAATACATGTATTAAAAACAAACAAAAAATAATTCAAATGAATAACTTTGAAAAATCAATAAAAAAAAATTACAAACCTTAACTGTACAATCTTGACTAGAGGTTGCAAGAATATGCTCATCATAAGGACACCAATCAATATTGTGTATTTTAAACAAATGTGCAGTTATATATTGTACAGGTGCAGTGGATTTCTGAAAAAAATTAACACTAATTAAGACTAAACAATTGTTAATTTAAAAAAAAAAGAACACCACACATGCACGCACACACACACATATATATATATGAAAGAATTTATATATTTTGGTTCTTTCCTGTTTCACCCATAAGAGACATTATGTAAGATGAGAAGCCTCAAGCGAATTGCCAGCTCAACTGTGGAGATAAAATAAAAGAGAATAAAAAGCATACACGTGTTTCCTGACCATATTCAACCCCCTTTTAGTAAACAAAAGACATTATTATAAAAGTTTAATTTATATGAGGCTTCATTTGCATATGAGTTTGCGAAAATCTAACTATTGCAATATGTTGTAGGATATATTCTAGAATGGATGAGTGAAATCACAAAATAACCCCACCCCCCAAATTTTGGATTAGATGCTTAATAATTAGAAAAAACAAACACACAAACAATGGAATATTAACAAAAGAAACAAAGATAATTAATATAAAGGGATTAATATAAAGCGAAGAAGGAATACTCTCACTCATACCACCATTATGGATAATAATTCTAGTTCCACTGCTTGTTTTTCTGCAATCTGGTGTGAAAGTGCTAGAGAAGTTTCAGTTCATTAAAAAAAAATTCTTCCAAAAAACCCAATAGAAATTTATGAACAGATCAGTGAATATAAACTAGAAAAATCTTTCGGTTAAATATTACTTGGAGCAAAAACTAAATTATCTTTGCTTCTACTTCTAAGTACACGTTTCTAATTAGGATAACTGTTAAAATGTTAAGTACAAAATACTACTAAATTAAAGACTTGTCAAAAAATAAAAAAAATAAAGAGTAAAAATTACCCGAGTATCCCATAATCTTAAGTCTCCTTCATGAGATGTTGCAAGAAAATATGAATGAAATTTATTCCACTTCACCTGGGAAGCTCCAGCTAAAAATATAATAAACAGTTATAAAACAAACTTGTTTCAAATGTTTCAATTAATTTGATAAATTGAAAAGAATAAGAATTTTACTTACCAACTGCTGATAAAGATATTGATGGCTTTCTGGAATCTCTATAATAAAAATTGATATTCATGAATGAACTCAATGACAGTAGTTGAGCAGCACATAAAGCATATTTGTAAATTCAAATTAAAAATTGTACATTAAAATTATATCAAATATTCAGTACAGAGCCCGTATTGTGGAGTATAACAGTTTAACCTTAAAAATACTTTCATGACAATTTATACTGAAATTTAGAAAAACAGATAAATTAACCAAAGCTTTTTTTTTTATTAAAATATAAATTTGTTTTATTAAAAATACACATATATTTAAAGAAATTATTTCCTTCACAATTTATTCACTCAATTTTAAAAATACTAAGTATAATCAATAAGTTAGTTCTACAAAATAAACTTTAAAATGATACAGCATATTTTCTAGTGAATTTCCAAAAAGGTATTAATGAAGTGTTATGAGTTTAAAATATCAAATTAAGTAAAATGTTAATTAGTCTAGTTGGTGTGATAGAAGTTTGAATGAATAAACTAACATTATACTTACTAATCATGATACATAATTATTTTATAATATTTAATACACATAGATTAGAATTTATTAATCTCAATAATTTATTCTACATTGTCATTTTTCAGAGCTTTAAAATCAAAATGTAATAATAACTATAGAATCAAAGAAAAGATTCAGAAAAAATACAAATTAAATATTTTTTTAAAGTAAACTTCAACTACTTTATTTTTTGGCAATAATTTACAAAGATTAAGATAAATTCATTTAGTTTCATTATTTTATTTTGAAAAATATTTGCAAGATATTTGCCATCAGATATTGACTAGTAAGTTTTTGAAACAATATCAAATTAATTAAAATTCTGCATAAATATTATAATGGAAAAAAGTCACTGAACATTAAAAAAATAGTCAAATATGAAAAAAAAGGGGGGAATTGAAAAAAACAACAACATTAAGTTAACTAATGTGAATGAGTACAAAATAAACATGAGTTTCTAATTCTAATTTTAACAAACCTCTAAATAAACTCAGTAGACTTTAAGAAAAAGAAATTAATATGTAATAAACAACGAATTCAATGGAAAAAATGATGAATTTACATTGAACCTAACACGGCAGTTTTAGAGCCTTTCTAAAACTGCCGTGTTTTTAGAAAGGCAGCACGCCCAGCCTGTCCTTTCATCCCTATAAATGCGTCCTCTTTGCCCTTTTTATAAAAATAAGCCACCATACCTTAAAAATCTGCATTTTTATCCAGATTCAGTTTTTAATTAACTGCTAAAATAATGATTATACACAAAAATTATCTGTGTTCTTAGGTTTAATTCTAATTCAATTTACAAATATTTAAATTGATATTACAAATATTTACTTTATTAGGATTATTTGCAACTGGTTAAATTTTCAAAAGCTTTTTTTAAGCTTAATCTTTTTAAATGATTTTAAATTTTAAAATTATATTTTAAATAAATATCCTTTTTTCTAAAAAACAAAATAAAATGCACCTTTAAATGTTCATCTTCTAATAATTTCCAGTAAAATTATACAAAAAAATCTTTTAAGCTGTTCATCAAAAAAAATTTTTTTTTAGTCTACATTTTTAAAAAAATTTATGCACATTATTATTTTCTTAGCATCTTTAATTAATATCTATAAACTAAATTTTTTCTCTCTCTTATTCAGATAATGAGTGAAAATTACTTTTTGTAATATACACCTAATATAATATAAGATGGTAACTTAATAATTGTTGAAGCTCAAATTCAATTATTACAAGATTTTGATAAATTTTTATGGTGTTAAGCGAGTGTCCTTTCAAAACTGTAAGTGTCTTTTTCTGTGAGGAATCACCCTGCCCTTTTTTATTCCTAGTGAGAACTCTGATAATAGATTAAATAATTATTTTTTATATATATGTTTTGAAGAAACATTTAAAAATAAAAGGTAGAAAAATAAACTACTTGCCTAATATCCCACACATGAATAAATGTATCTATGGAAGCAGTGGCTAAAGAATGACTATCAAAAATTGACCAATCTATGTCACTGGAAAAAAAATATATTCATTTAGAAATAACTCAAATTCAGAGGTCTAAGAAAAAAAAATTAAAGTTGCAATTTTTTATAGTGAATTAGATTATTAAAATTATTTTAAGTAGGAAAAATAATTAAAATAGCAACTCACCTAATGGCACGAGTGTGAGCTTTTAAAGTGACAGTTTGAATTACGTCACCATTCTCCCAAGAATATAATTCTGTTCTTTCATTGCACTAGAAATTTACATGCATATTAAAATTCACAAATATAACACAATATTTGATTTAATAAATATATTAAACAAAAAAGTAAGAGACTTTCAGTTATAATTTTTTGATGTTAGGATTTTTTGTGATGCCATTTGTCCAGTGCAGACGATAAAGTTGCCAATGCAAAATCGGCCAAGTAAATTCATCTATTTTCTTTTTTAAGTTATGATTTTAATCATTTTTTTGGCGACAAAAATAAAATAAATACAACAGTGCCCTGATTATCCAAAAGTTCTGCAATGAAATTTAAAAGCTAAAATGAGTGATTTTTTTTAAAATGAAACTTAACACTTTTAAGTATGAACACTCCTATGATGCTTGTATGCATTTATTTCTCCACTATTCGTTGTTTTAGACATTTAGACTTAAAAACAAAGATTTCTATTGTATGTTTAAAATATATACACAAGTATGAATAGTAAATTTTAAAATTCTTTTTAATGTCTCCACTTTACTTTGTAAGTTTTTTTTTTTTTTTTTCGGTTATCAGCCATATTTGATATCCACGATGCTCTAGCCATCTAAACCTGCGGCTAATTGGTGCTTAACAGTAAATAAAATAGCTGAGTTTACTTGCACCAATGAAAAGTAAAAGTGCCATTAAAACGAGCACTTCCTAATAAGGATAAAAATATATCTTCCTAGAGAGTCTCCAGTAATATTAATTGAAAATATTTTTCAAATAAAACATTTATAAAGCTCCATAAAATTTGATAGAAATGCATTAATATGAAGAATGAAAGTAAATATACTCACAGCAAGTGCAAAACATTCTCTTTTATTTGGATTCCAAGCTGCAGTTGTAACATCCCATTTACTATGCCTATTTGTTTTATGGACAACAATGGATGGCTGATCCAAATGCACAATACCCATGTGGCGACGCCTTGAAAGAATAAAATTCAAAATAATAGAACAATATCTAAATCTTTTTCTTTTTACTTAAGAATAACAGAAAAGAATATGTTAAAAAAATATATTTGTTTAAAAGTTTATAAATGTATTGTTTTCATTTATGATTTTAAAATAATGTTCAGATACAAAAAAAAAAATCAAATTTTCTTTTTTTTTTATTAAGAAAATTGATAATCGATAGATTTTCATTTTTTTTTTCTTTAAATCAACACATTTAAATCCTCACAACAGTTCAAAAGCTCAATTTTTTAATAGTCCTATAAATTTTGATGTTCCTTTCCAATAACTTAATTAAATATTAATTAACATTTCATAAATTACTTTTTAATAGGTTTTAATTTAAATGATTTTCAATTTATTTATTTCAGTAGTATTATGTTCCCAAAATTCTAAATATTTTCCTAAGATTAAAAATTTCTTTCCATCTTCAGAGCCTAACTTTAAACAACTAACCAGAATCAGAGTTAAGTAAATATTTTTGACACTTAATCAACAGCTTAAAAAAGTGCACAATTTTATTTTTAATTTTATTTCTAATTTTCTTTTAAATTAATTGAGAATAGTCAGATTTTTAGCAGTCAATTCTGATGATACAAAGATTAAATTTTTTCTGAAAATAAATAAATAAAGGGATAACAAAGTAATACATAAACAGTTATTATTAAAGGGGAAAAAAACAAATTTTTAACAGATAAGTTTGTAATGAAAATATTCAAGAAATTCATAACATACCGGGTTTATAGTCAACAACTAAACAGACCCCAGAGAATGTTATAACACAAAAAAAGCACTTACTTATATATAAAATAAAAAAAAGTTTAAAAAATATTTAAGTTCTTAAAAGGCAAGCTTACCCAGCCAAAAGAGCATAGAGGCCAGAACTGTCCACTGCCATGGTATTAGCCTAATTGAAAAATATATTAAATTACAAATGATTACACAAAGAAAAACGATATTTTTATTTTACTAACTCCAAAAAAAGATATCAAATTTAACAAACATGCGAAATCAAAACACAAAGAAATCTATTCCTACAATTTATAATCACAAAATGGGAGAAATTTTTTACCAGGTCATTTAACAAAACAAAGCTCCTTTAGGCTTTTAAAAAGCAGAGCACCTTCCAAATAAAAGATATAAGTTAGAGCATTTTTAAAAAATATAAAAGAATTTTAGCATATTAAATGCTTTCAGATCTAAATTTTGAATTTTATGTTTTAATCTCAATTAGCAAAATTTCAATATAAGTATTCAACTTTTAAGTATTTAACATCAACATTACAAAAGGAAGAATTTCAGATATGAAAACAAACAGTATTACTTTTAACCAGTTAAGAACAAGAATGAACTAGTATGTGATGCAGACGATTTAAGCAATGACAGAATCAGGGTCAAAAATTAGCTGCCGCTTATCACAATTTGATCCAAATTTTTTTTATTTGAGGTTTAGAAATTATGCCCAGTCCTAATCTTTAATGCATAACTTTAAAAATAAAGATACCTTTGCTCCTGCAATTCAACACCGGGCCGAGTTATACGATGAACAGGAAGTTATAAGAATAACATCACAAGCTTGAAGTAAAGCACAATATTCTTGGCATTCGATGCACAAAAATTGGAGTACACTTACGGCATGGGCAGATTTCCGTACCATGATCTATGGCAGAATAATCACCAAGTTTTGGAAACTTTCGGGCAGTGGCCCGTGAGAAACTAAAAAAAACATCACAGAAAGGGACCAACTCGAAAGGTATGACTTGTAGTCACCCTTGGGGAAACATCTACATTTTTTATTTAAAAAAAAAATTGCAAGTTTAAAATCTATTTGGCATCATAGCGATTGTAGTTGGCGAGACAGATCAAGATACGGAAATATCCCCTACAGCATGAGAGCTTCAAACACATCAACACTAAAGTGTGACTGTAAAAAATTGGATATTGAAAAGGAATTATAAAGTGCAATTTCAATTTCGGTGGAAGAGAGCAATTTTTAATTAAGTTAACAAAGTTCCACTTAGTGGAGGAAGAATCATGGGTATGATAAATATCAAAAACACTTTTAAAAAATCATAATAGAATCTATACGTTTTTTATATGTTCATATTTTTTAATTATTAATCAATCTATCGATATGTATCCATCTGTACATTCATATCTTATTATTTCTGCCAATTAAGCAAATTAGATTCACTATTTTAACCAATATGGAGATTTATAGTGGTATAATTATACAGACTACGGTAGTATTTTAATATTTCATAATATCAAATGTGACTTAAGCAAACATATTAATTCAAGTATTGATGGAACGTTTTGGGTTAACCTGCCTGCAATCTTTCGCAGCTTTGAGGTTTTAGATACTAGTATTTGCCACAGAAAAACATTTTGTTTCAAAATAGTTACCAATAATATTAAGAATAAAACTGAATTTAAAAGATTAATGCAAATTTTCTCATGTGCAACTTTAAATGACATTACAGGTAAAAAATGGAAGAAAATATATCTATACAAATAAAATGAATGAAAATGTAGCATTCTAATTGCATTATATATCCATTTATATGGTTTTAAAAATATCTTAAGCTTGTAATTCAAACAACGTACTTGCAATTCACGATGGTCAGCAACAACATTTTCATTTTTCCAAACAGTCGTCATCTTTATTTTTTATCAGCCTGCGAAAACAAAAATATTCTATTTATAAGTACATAATCCCAGTACTACCCATCTTTCATATTTCATTATCAAAACCAAAACAAACATAAGGGTATACGGTTACAGTTAGTTAATATATTTCTGCAGTCTCTGGGAGTATAATGTGATAGCAAAAATAGGCAGTTTAAAGCCGGCTGAGTTAAGAAAATAAAATTGCATTCAATTAAACATATTCGTTCAAACTAAAAACAAAATCCTGTTTTAAGAGGGGCTATTCTTAAATATTCACTCAGAAATCAATTTTAAAAAGCGCTCTAAATCACTATTCCTATGTGCGTGCAGTAAAACTTCTCACAAAAAAAAGCCTCACTAAAATAGACGCTTCTTAGACTGGAAGAAAATCTTATTTAATTCATGCAGTGCGACAAGACATTTGCAAATAAACTTAATTTAGAAGAGCACATATTTGTTCATGCTGAATTGGAACTTTATTCATGCAGTCAAAAGCATTTACCCATAAAGAAACTTTAAATTTACCCTCTCTCGCTCATACTAGAGAAAAACCATTTTCATGTAATGTGTGTTTTAAAGCTTTCACGTGTAAAGCTAGTTTAAATAAACATTCTTTTATTCACACTGGTGAAAAACCTTTTTCATGCAAATTTTGTAATAAGACATTCTCCGATTCATATTATTTAAATAGACATTCTCTTGTTCATACTGGAGAGAAACCTTATTCATGCAATGTGTGTAATAAAGCTTTTACGTGTAAAGCTAGTTTAAATAGACATTCTTTCATTCATACTGGAGAGAAGCCTTTTTCGTGCAGTGTATGTAATAAGACATTCCCAGATTCATTCTATCTAAACAGACACTCTCTTGTTCATACTGGAGAGAAACCATATTCATGCAATGTTTGTGATAAAGCTTTCACGTGTAAAGCTAATTTAAATAGACATTCTTTTATTCATACTGGAGAAATGCCTTATTCATGCAGCATATGTAACAAAACATTCCCAGATTCATTTTTTTTAAATAGACACGCTCTTGTTCATACTGGAGAGAGGCCTTATTCGTGCAGCGTGTGTGATAAAGCATTTGCTCTGAAATCTAGTTTAAGTAGACACTCCCTTATTCATACTGGAGAGAAACCATATTCATGCAATGTTTGTGATAAAGCTTTCACGTGTAAAGCTAGTTTAAATAGACATTCTTTTACTCATACTGGAGAAATGCCTTATTCATGCAGCATATGTAACAAAACATTCCCAGATTCATTTTATTTAAATAGACACGCTGTTGTTCATACTGGAGAGAAGCCTTATTCGTGCAGCGTGTGTGATAAAGCATTTGCTCTGAAATCTAGTTTAAATAGACACTCCCTTATTCATACTGGAGAGAAACCATATTCATGCGATGTTTGTGATAAAATTTTCTCATGTACAGCTAGTTTAAGTAGACATTCTCTTATTCATACAAAAGTGAAACCTTATTTATGTGTTGTGTGTAATAAGACATTTGCATATTCATCTAGTTTAAATAGACATTCTCTTCTTCATACTGGAGAAAATGATGGATAGAAACCTTAATCATTTTATAAGCAAAGACCGTCTAAACAATCTCTGCTGTATTCATACTGAAAAAAAAGCCTTATTTTTGTGTTTTGTCTGATAAAACCTTTGAACATAAATCTAATTTAAAATGCACACTTTCTTGTTCATACTGGAGAGAGATCTCATTCTTACAATGTATTCATGTATAAATGCAGTTTTTAAAACATTCATGCAAAAATCTAGTTTGTACACTATTTTATTCATACTTACACATTCATTCCTTTTTCATGCAGTGTATGAGGTAATACATTCAAAATAAATCTAATTTAATTACACACTTGTTCATACTAGAAAGAAACCCGATTCATGCAGTGTATGTAATAAAACATTAATGTACAAATTTTGTTTAAACAAACACTATCTTATTTATATTGCGGGGAAAATCTTATTCATACTTAGTTTGAGGTAGCATGTATGAGGTATGAAAATAAATAATCCTGGGAAATTGAAGTGGTAAGATAATGGACTAAAAAAACTTCATTAGCTTCAAAAATTAAATTTTTAAAGCCAATGAAGTTTTTTTTTTATAAATAAAGTAATATACATTACCTTGAAGACATGGAGATAGACCTCATGCAGTGTATGTGATCGAACATTCATGGAGAAATTTAGTTTAGCCGAACATTTACTTATTCATGCAGTCTATAAAAGATTCAAACATAATTCGATTTTAAACACGCACTCCCTTGTTCATAATTGAGAGTGACATCATTCATGTAGTATATGGAATAAAACAGTAATGCTCAAATCTAGATTAATCAAACATTACCTTATTCATGCATAGGTAATACATTCAAACAGAAATATACAGTAAATATACATTATCTTAAATAAAGATTGCGATTTTTTTAAAAGTCAATTTCTCAGAAACTGATTTTGCTCAAATGTTGTGTTTTGCAGTGTAAAATTACATTCTTTAAAATGGTGAAAAAAATTGTATAGCTTACAATTCAAAATTTTTTTTACTATTAATAAATAAAATAATAATTATTTACTAAATGTTATTTTTACATGGAATTATCTTAGGATAAATGAATGTTATAATTATACGTAAAAATTTTTCAATCTGCTTAAATAATTTTAAAGAAGGCAATTTTAATGATTTGTAGCATAAATGTGACTTAAGTTGTGTAATATTGTTTTAAGTATTAACAAGAAATATATGACGGTAGATTTAATAAAAGCTTACAATTTTTACATAGATAGTAACAGAGGAGAAGTATTTTTATCTTTTATAATAATAAAAATAATAATGTGGAAAAATAATTGACGCTACATGATGGTAACAATAATGTAGGTTCTGAAAGTGTAATGTTTATTGTTTCAAAAAATTTAAACATTTTTGATTATTGGTAACACTGGAGAACATAATGTAGATTCAATTTAAGGTTTTATGATTTTTTTTAATTTTATATTCTAAATTGAAAAGTGTACTGAAGAAACATTCTAATTAAAACTGGTATAGTTATTTGAATATTTAATTGTTTAATAAAAATTTTTCTATGTTATGAAAATCTATATATCTAACTGACAAATTTAATTTTTGTTCTTATGAGTTCATGAGGGTGTGGATTTTATTCTGGGATTAGTTTTGAAGAATTATATAGATTACGATAAATTTAGTTTGAGATTAAGTATTTTAGTTATAATAATATTTTTAAATAATTTTAAGCCTTACTACTATTTGATTGGTAAATTTGAATAAATTAAAAAACCTCTGATTTAAATTTAATGCAATATTTTTAAATTGCCAACTTTGTGTGTGTATATATATAACGTCGTTGTCGAGTGGAAGGATTAAAACAGGTCTTGGGCCAGGGAAGGAGGGTACAAAATATATTTATTAATTATTAGACAGAGCAGTCATGAAAGTGTGTATGGAAAGTTGTGCTCCTTGGTTATATGCTAGGGAAAATCTTGCTAAGTAAATCAGTAAAATGTTTCGATTTAGAGAAAGAGGGAAATCTTAGTTGCTATTGGTTTATGAAATAGGTCGAGCGTTTCCCACAGAGAGCAAAGGGGAAAATGTCCTGCTTTTAATTAAATGCATACTTGAGCCAAAAATAGATTTAAAACTGGATGTGGCTTTTAAACGAGTGAGAAAGTATTTCGATTAGAATAGTTAATTAGGATAACATAAAAAGATTACTAGAAGCTTTTTATGTTACATACATATATATATAATTTAAAGAAAGAACACCTTGGACAAACCTTAAGCCTTAATAATGTATAAATTATCATAGATGATTATTTTAAACAAGATCAGGGGTCTGTTTAGAAGAAATTTGGGTCTGTTAACGGACCCTTCACAAAATATCTTTTCATAAAAACGGACCCTTCACAAAATATTTTAACTTAAAAACGGACCCTTCACAAAATATCTTTTCATAAAAACGGACCCTTCACAAAATGATTTTTCTTTTAATCGGACCCTTCACAAATTTGTTTATCTTTATTATTATTTTGTTATCGAATAAATCTTTTCCTGGGCAGAAAACAAGAAAGATGGATGTAAACCAATTAAGTTTTGTCTTCGGCAGACGATTCTTCCATTATTCGTCCGAAATGAATATTCCGCGTTCAGTATAGGCTAAATACCAAATATTTGTATGTTGCATCTCTAATTTAGAAGCGGCAATTGTTGTTTATTTTTTAAAATGTTATTTTTTTAATTATAATTTTACAGTGTTGAGCATAATCTTGTATGTCTTTAACATTTAAAAACTCCTAGAAAAAGTTTTTTTGTTGCAATAACGGACCCTATTAGCACAAATTCATAAAAGCGGACCCTGGTTGAAAAAATTTGAGTAATTTTTTCACAATTTCACGAAAAACGGACCTTTCACAAAATGTCTGGACAGACCCCTGAAGATTGAAAGCCAAATGACCGAGAATCTTAATGCACTTTCTCTAATGTTTGCCAACAGTGATGTCTATTCATGTTCTTAGCTAATTCCACAACAAATTAAAGATTTAAAATGTATAACAATAATTTTACTTTTTCTTTCAGAAAAACAAAAAATAATTTGCGAAAAAAGATTTCAGAGTTAGACGAAATTTTATTAAGTTAGGTATTTAGGTTACATATGCTTAGATTAATTATATATCTGAATTTAATTGAAAATATCAAGTAAGAGGTGATTGAGTTTTTATGCTTTTAATTTTCTCAATCATTATCATAAAAATTTTTCCAGGGATGAATATAGTTAAACGTTGGGAATTAACATCATAAATATTCTAGATACCATTAAATATGAATTTTATTAGTATCCATCTGGTTAACAATACAACAAAATTGCAAACTATGAAGCAGACATAAAATTTGTTTCACCATCTAAAAATTCCTTGCAATAGAGATTAATGAAGAAAAAATAATGACTATTTACTGTGCATAAGCTGCAATAACACAAAACACATAAAAAAAGTTAAAAATACAAAAAAATAATCTCTCTCTATATATTTTTTTTCTGGCTCTTTAATTTTTTTTAAATTTATATATATATAAATATATATGATAATTAAAAAAATATATTAAGACTTTTTCCACATTTAATTTAAACCAATCATGTTTAGTCATCCAAAAATCATGCCTAATATTATAACCCATTATTATGAATAAATAATCTAATATCTACAGAGCATGAAAATCATTAAATGTTTTTACCGAAACACTTTAAATCAAATGATTAAAAAAACTACAAGAATGCAAAATAAAAATTTATATTTATTTTGATAAAAATCCATTCTTTGATTTTATAAAAGAAATTTTGTTCCAGTCTAGTAAAGGCTATTGTACTTCATAATGTATTTAAGATATTTACTATAAATACATTTACACTCATTTTTGAGAAAATTACTATACCATGAAGGAATTATACAATTAAACCAAACACATGATAGATAGGTAAGATGGGCTAATGGTTAGAATTACAAAGTGATTGCTCTTGTGCAACAACTGTGCATGTTTATTTATACAACTAATGGTAATATATGAAATAAAATTCAGTACAGTAATTTCTGACAATTCTATCATAGTGTTGAAATTTTATCAGATACCTAACTATTGTGTTACATAATATCTACTCAGCATCGTAGTCCTTAAATATTTTACCGAAACACTTTAAATTGAATTAAGAATGAAAAATAAAATGGTAAATTTATAGTTTACTTGCTGAAAATCAATTTTTGATTGGTTAAAAGTAGTTTTAAGCTATTGTATTTTATAATGTATTTATAGTTAACCAGATATAGAATGTGAACATTTAAAGGGCTCTGCAAAATGTTTTGCTCAGAGCCCTGGTGAAGTCTACCAACAGCTTTGTTAAGAAAAACCTTAGAGATTTAATTAAATAGTCATACAAAAAAAAAATGAAAAACATACATAATTCTTTATTGACAAGACAAAAATATATACATTTATTTTCATCATGAAACTCAACTGCCTAATATTCCAGGAATAGTTGGAAGTTCCTAGGGAAAATAAATATAAAATAAAAAATACGTTTAAAAAATACTTCACACTCAAACATAAAATTTAAGAATGCAGGGTTCTTGGATTCCTCTCAATTTTTAAACTAAAATTCTCAGATTTTTTCAAGAAAATTCTTGAGTACATTTTTTTCTATACATGACAATATATATTTATTCAATAAGCAGTAAAAAAATTTTGTGATACAAAATAAAATATTAACTTTTATTAAAAAAAAAAAAAAAAGAACTTTCAATAGATGAAAGGCTGATGTGTAGGTTTTTACATAAGTACCTATATAAAATATAGGTAGAACTAAAATTTAAAAGCTTAATGAAACACAATTTATTAATCAAGTTGATATAGTCAGCAATTGTAGATTGTACAGGGATGAAAGTACCAGTTAGCAAAAAAAGCTGAATTCTACGTAAACGCAATCAAACATTATGAAATTAATAAATGTATGGAGCTTAAAAAGCTTTGAAAAAAGCTGAATTCAGAGTAAAAGCTGAAAACTTTCATGCCTGATTGTATGAATGATTAAGCAATTCAGCACCTTTGAAGCACCTTAAAAGCAGAGCACCTTCAAAATAAAAGATATAAGTTAGAGCATTTTTAAAAAATATTTAAGACTTTTAGAATACTAAATGCTTTCAGATCTAAATTTTGAATTTTATTTTTTAATCTTTAGCAAAATTTCAATGTAAGTATTCAATTTTTAAGTATTTTAACATCAGCATTACAAAAGGAAGAATTTCAGATATGAAAACAAACAGTATTACTTTTAGCCAGTTGAGAACAAGAATGAACTAGTATGTGATTCAGACAATTTAAGCAATGACGGAATCAGGGTCAAAAATTAGCTGCCGCTTATCACAATTTGCTCCAAACATTTTTTTATTTACGGCATAGAAATTATGCCCAGTCGTAATCTTTAATGTATAACTTTAAAAATGAAAATACCTTTGCTCCTGCGATTCAAGACCTGGCCGAGTTATACGATGGACAGGAAGTTATAAGAATATCACCACAAGCTTGAAGTAAAGCACACAATTCTTGGCATTTGATGCACAGAAATTGGAGAACACTAACGGCATGGGGAGATTTCCGTATCGTGATCTGTGGCAGAATAATCACCAAGTCTAGAACTAGTGAGAAACTAAAAAAAACATCACAGAAAGGGACCAACTCGATATGTATAACTCGTAGTCACCCCCTGGGAAAACATCTACATGTTTTATTCAAAAAAAATTTGCAAGTTTTAAATCTATTAGGCATCTTGGCAATTGTAGTTGGCTAGACAGATCAAGATATGGAAATATCCCCTATGGCATGAGAAGGTCAAACACATCAACACTAAAGTGTGACAGTGAAAAATTGGATATTGAAAAGGAATTATTTCAATTGTGCAATTTCAATTTCGGTGGAAAAGAGCAATTTTTAATTAAATTAAGTTAACAAAGTTCTACTTAGTGGAGGAAGAATCATGGGCATGATAAATAACAAAAACACTTTCTAAAAATCATAATAGAATCTATAGATATTTTTATATAATCATATTATTTTATTATATAATCATATTATTTTATTTATCGATATGTAACCATCTGTTATATTCATATCTTATTATATCCGCCAATTAAGCAAATTAGATTCATTATCTTAACCAATATGGAGATTTATAGTGGTTAAACTATACAGACTACGGTAGTATTTTAATATTTTATAATATAAAATGTGACTTAAACAAACATTTTAATTCAGGTATTGATAGAACGTCTTGCGTTAACCTGCTTGCAATCTTTCGCAGCTTTGAGGTTTTAGATACTAGTATTTGCCACAGAAAAACATTTTGTTTCAAAATAGTTACCAATAGTTTTAAGAATAACACTGAATTTAAAAGATTATTGCAAATTTTCTCATGCGCAACTTTAAATGACATTACAGGCGAAAAATGGAAGACAATATAAGCATATAAAGTGAATGAAAATGTAGCTTTCTAATTGCATTATATATCCATTTATATGGTTTTTAAAATATCTTAAGCTTGTAATTCAAACAACGTACTTGCAATTCACGATGGTCAGCAACAACATTTTTATTTTTCCAAACAGTCGTCATTTTTATTTTTTCTCAACCTGCGAAAACAAAAATAATCTATTTATAAGTACATTATCCCAGTACTACCCATCTTTCATTATCAAAACCAAAACAAGCATAAAGAAATACGGTTACAGTTAGTTAATATATTTCTGCAGTCCCTGGGAGAATAATGTGATAGCAAAAATAGGAAGTTTAAAGCCGACTTATTTAAAGTTTGTAAAGTTTTGGTTTTGTATTTATTTTGGTGTTGGACAGCTGAGTTAAGAAATTAAAATCGCAAACAAAATCCTGTTTTAGGAGGGGCTATTCTTAAATATTCACTCAGAAATCAATTTTAAAAAGCTCTCTAAATCACTATTCCTATGTGCGTGCAATAAAACTTCTCACAAAAATAAAAAACCTCCCTGAAATAGACGCTTTCTAGACTGGAAGAAAATCTTATTTAATTCATGCAGTACGATAAGACATTTACTAGTAAATTTAATTTAGATGTATACATTTTTGTTCATACTGAAGTGGAACTTTATTCATGCAGTCAAAAGCATTTACACATAAAGAAACTTTAAATTTATCTTCTCTCGTTCATACGAGAGAAAAACCATTTTCATGTAATGTGTGTTTTAAAGCTTTCACATGTAAAGCTAGTTTAAATAAACATTCTTTTATTCACACTGGTGAAAAACCTTTTTCATGCAAATTTTGTAATAAGACATTCTCCGATTCATATTATTTAAATAGACATTCTCTTGTTCATACTGGAGAGAAACCTTATTCATGCAATGTGTGTTATAAAGCTTTCACGTGTAAAGCTAGTTTAAATAGACATTCTTTCATTCATACTGGAGAGAAGCCTTTTTCATGCAGTGTATGTAATAAGACATTCCCAGATTCATATTATTTAAACAGACACTCTCTTGTTCATACTGGAGAGAAACCATATTCATGCAATGTTTGTGATAAAGCTTTCACGTGTAAAGCTAGTTTAAATAGACATTCTTTTATTCATACTGGAGAAATGCCTTATTCATGCAGTATATGTAACAAAACATTCCCAGATTCATTTTATTTAAATAGACACGCTCTTGTTCATACTGGAGAGAAGCCTCATTCGTGCAATGTGTGTGATAAAGCATTTGCTCTGAAATCTAGTTTAAATAGACACTCTCTTATTCATACTGGAGAGAAACCATATTCATGCGATGTTTGTGATAAAATTTTCTCATGTAAGGCTAGTTTGAGTAGACATTCTCTTATTCATACAAAAGCGAAACCTTATTTATGCGTTGTGTGTAATAAGACATTTGCATATTCATCTAGTTTAAATAGACATTCTCTTCTTCATACTGGAGAAAATGATGAAGAGAAACCTTAATCATTTTATAAGCAAAAACCGTCTAAACAATCTCTGCTGTATTCATACTGGAAAAAAAGCCTTATTTTTGTGTTTTGTCTGATAAAACCTTTGAACATAAATCTAATTTAAATGCACACTTTCTTGTTCATACTGGAGAGAGATCTCATTCTTACAGTGTATTCATGTATAAATGCAGTTTTTAAAACATTCATGCAAAAATCTAGTTTGTACACTATTTTATTCATACTTACACATTCATTCCTTTTTCATGCAGTGTATGAGGTAATACATTCAAAATAAATCTAATTTAAACACACACTTGTTCATACTAGAAAGAAACCCGATTCATGCAGTGTATGTAGTAAAACATTAATGTACAAATTTTGTTTAAACAAACACTATCTTATTTATATTGTGGGGGAAAATCTTATTCATACATAGTCTGTATGAGGTATGAAAATAAATAATCCTGGAAAATTGAAGTGGTAAGATAATGGACTAAAAAAACTTCATTAGCTTCAAAAATTAAACTTTTAAAGCCAATGAAGGTTTTTTTTATAAATAAAGTAATATACATTACCTTGTAGACATGGAGATAGACAGTGTATGCGATCGAACATTCATGGAGAAATTTAATTTAGCCGAACATTTACTTATTCATGCAGTCTATAAAACATTCAAACATAATTTGATTTTAAACACATGCTCTCTTGTTCATACTCGACAGTGACTTCATTCATGCAGAATATGAAATAAAACATTAATGCTAAAATATATATTAAACAAACACTACCTTATTCATACTGGAAGGAAGAAACCTTATTCATGCATAGTATGAGGTAATACTTTCAAACAGAAATATACATTATCTTGAATAAATAATGCAATTTTTTTTTAAAAATCATTTTTTCAAAAACTGATTTTGCTCAAATGTTGTGTTTTGCTATGTAAAATTACATCCTTAAAATGGTGTAAAAAATTTTATAGCTTACAATTCAAAATTTTTTTGGCTATTAATAAATAAAATAATAATTATTTACTAAAAGTTTGGATAAATGAATTTTATAATTATACGCAAAAAATTTTCAATCTGCTTAAATAATTTTAAAGAAGTCAAATTCAGTGATTTGCAGCATAAATGTGACTTAAGTTGTGTAATATTGTTTTAAGTATTAACTAGAAATATATGACAGTAGATTTAATAAAAGCTTATAATTTTTACATAGATAGTAACAGAGGCAAAATATTTTTTATCTTTTATAATAATAAAAATAATAATATGGAAAAATAATTGACGCTACATGATGGTAACAATATTGCAGGTACTAATAGTGTTATGTTTATTGTTTCAGAAAACTTATTTTTTATTTAAACATTTTTGATTATTGGTAACAGTGGAGAACATAATGTAGATTCAAGTTAAGGTGTTATGATTTTTTTTAAATTTTATATTCTAAATAGAAAAGTGTACTGATGCTTTGTGTGCAAGAAACATTCCAATTGAAACTGGTATAGTTATTTGAATATTTAATTGTTTAATAAAATTTTTTCTTCATTATGAAAATCTATATCTAACTGACAAATTTGATCTTTGTTCTTGCGAGTTCATGAGGGTGTGGATTTTATTCTGGGATTAGTTTTGAAGAATTATATAGATTACGATTTTAACAATTTTAGTTTGAGATTATGTATTGTAGTTATATTATTTTAAATAATTTTAAGCTTTACTGCAATTTGATTGGTAAATTTGAATAATTTAAAGAACCTCTGATTTAAAAACTTTGTGTGTGTATATATCAGGGTTCATACAGAGATCAGAAGAAGAAATCCAAGGAGTCCAAAATTTAAGAACTTTGAGTAAAGGATAACTAGACAGAGTTTTTTTTTAAAAAAATTCAAAAAGCAGTTACTATAAAGAACTTGCAAAAATGTATATTTTTTTCTAGCCTTTTTGAAATAAATTTTGACTATGTCGAACTTCATGAAGAAAAATAATGTTATCACTTTCACACATAAATATTTTTTTCAGTTTCCAATATTTTAATAAATCTTGTTAAAGTACATAGTACAGATATTAAAGATTAACATAAAAACCTATCAATCTTATATTTTTAAATTTGAATACATAAGAAAAAAGGCATTTAAAAAAAAATCACAATAAATCATTAATTAAGTTCGCTTGTAACATGTAAAATTAAAATTATTTGCTCTTATTTTTTTCTCCTAACTCTTGCAATTCCATTTTTTTTTTCTTTTAAACTTTTTCTTAAACTATTTGATTTTGACAGCTAAGTCATATCATTTTGTTTCCCTGCTTGGACAGCAAATTCATCAGCGAACTTAGTAAGTTCATCTATGCAACACAATAATCTAAGGAGTTTCTAAGGACTAATTTGGAAATCTAAGTAGTTCCAAGTACTCCTTGGAGACCTTTTTATTTCCAAGGAGTATAAGGAGTCTGTACGAACCCTGATATATATATAATTTAAAGAATGAACACTTTGGACAAACCTTAAGCCTAATACAACAGTTAAACTTAAGTATGTATAAATTATCATAGATGATTATTTTAAACAAGATTGAAAGCCAAATGACTGTGAGAATCTTAATGCACTTTCTCTAATGTATGTAAACAGTGATGTTTATTCATGTTCTAGCTAATTCCACAAAAAATTAAAGATTTAAAAAATATAACAATAATTTTACTTTTTCTTTTAGAAAAACAAAAAATAATTTGCGAAAAAAGATTTCTGAGTTAGAGCAAATTTTATTCAGTTAGGTATTTAGGTTACATATGCTAAGATTAATTATCTATCTGAATTTAATTGAAAATATCAAGTGAAAGTTGATTGAGTTTTTATGTTTTTAGTCTTCTCAGTCATTATCATAAAAAAATATTCCAGGGATGAATATAGTAAAACATTGAGAACTAATGTCGTAAATGTTCTAAATAACATTTAATATGAATTTTATGAATATTCACCTGGTCAACAATATTGCAAACTATGAAGCAGAAATAAAATTTGTTTCACCATCTAAAAATTCCTGACAATAGAAGAAATATATATATATATAAATACAATAAAGAAAGATTAATGAAGAAAAAATAATGAGTCTTATTTACTATGCATAAGCTGCAATTACACAAAACTCATAGAATAAGTTAAAAATACAAAAATATATATATATTTAATGAGAAGATGATTAAGATATTTTGTTTTCTGGCTTTTTAATTCTTTTTTAAATATTTAGTAATAATTTTACTTCTCTTCAAAAAAAAGTTTTCTTGTTTTTTTTTTAAATATATATATATATATATATATCCGATAATTAAAAAAAAAAATGTTAGTTAAGACTTTTTCCGCGTTTAATTCAAACCAATCATGTTTAGTCATCCAAAAATCGAGCCCAATATTATACTACAGAGCATCAAAAGCATTAAATGTTTTTACAGAAACACGTTAAATCAAATGACTGAAAAAACTAAAAGAATGCAAAATAATTTTTTTAATTTAGTTTGATAAAAATCCATTCTTTGATTTTATAAAATAAATTTTGTACCAGTCTAGTAAAGGCTATTGTATTTTATAATGTATTTAAGATAGTTACTATAAACACATTTACACTCATTTTTGATAAAATTACAAGACCATGAAGGAATTATACAATTAAACCAAACAAATGATAGGTAGGCAAATGTTTAGAATTATCAAGTGATTGTTCTTGTGCAACAACTGTGCATATTTATTTATACAACTAATAGTAATATATGAAATAAAATTCAGTACAGTAATTTCCGTCATAGTGTTGAAATTTTCTCAGATATCTAACTATTGTGTTTTATAATATTGACACAGCATTGTAGTCCTTAAATATTTTACCGAAACACTTTAAATTGAATTAATAATGAAAAATTTATAGTGAACTTGATTAAAATCAATTTTTTTATTGATTAAAAGTAGTTTTAAGCTGTTCCAGTAAAAGCTACTGTATTTTATAATGTATTTGTAGTTAACCAGATATAGAATGTGAACATTTAAAGGGCTCTGTAAATTGTTTTGCTCAGGGCCCTGATGAAGTCTACCAACAGCTTTGTTAAGAAACCTTAGAGATTTAATTAAATATTAATACAACAAAATAAATTGAAAAACATACATTATTCTTTATTGACAAGAAAATGATATATACATTTATTTTCATCATGAAACTCAACTGTCTAATATTCCAGGAATAGTTGGAAGTTCCTAGGGAAAATAAATAAAAAAAAATATGTTTAAAAAATAATTAAACTTATACATAAAATTTAATAATGCAGGGTTCTTGGATTCCTCTCAATTTTTTAAATAAAATTCTTTGATTTTTTCAAGAAAATTCTGGAGGATTCAATAAGCAATAAAAAAAAATTGTGATACAAAATAAAATATCAACTTTTATTAAAAAAAAAAAAAAAAAAAGAACTTTCAATAGATGAAGGACTGACGTGTAGGTTTTTACATAAGTACCTATATAAAATATAGGTCGAAGTAAAATTTAAAGCTTAATGAAACATAATTTATTAATCAAGTTGATATAGTCAGCAATTGTAGATTGTATGAATGATTAAATACTGATACTAATTTATACGAGAAATAAAGAGAAGTTAGAATTACTTACTTTGAATCATTTTTAACTGAAGGTAACAATAAATAACAATTGTTGGTTATTTATTGTTACCATCAGTTTTGAAATTGGTTATTTTCCATGTTTTAGTCTAAAATTACATTCTTGATTTTCTTCCCCTCAAAATCAATTTCCCTAACAATTCAAGGTTTCCCAGGTATCCCTGACCTTGTGAAAACCTTGATATTTATATTAATTAATTTATATATTACTTTAATAAATCAGATCATAAAAATTATTGGATACATTTTTTCTTTCTTTAAATTACCATAGCTAAATAAAAATTGGATTTTTATTCATTACCTTTTTTTAAAAATAAAACTAAAACTTAAAAAAAATTCGTCTTCTGCCATTTTGAATAAAATCCGTTTCACTTGTCTTCCTTGATCTTTCATTATTTTCAATATGGATCCATGTTATCTAGCTTCCCTACCAGTATTGTTCAGAAGCGGTGCGAACCAGAACACAATGCCCCCCCCCACACGAATGACGGAACACCTTTCAGAACACATTTTTCTGCAACCACGTGTTCACGGAAGGCAAGATTTTTTCATGTAAGACGTTAAAATTTTTTCAATGCTACAAATTTACTAAGTGATTCCGAATTGTTCAGCATATGTGGCAAGGTCATTTAGCACTCAAAACCGAATTAAGACAAAATATCGTATACAAATGACTGATAAACATTTGAGCAACCTAATGAGAAAACCTGATGAAAAAGTAGATAAAGAACGTTTTCCATATGATGATGCAGCAAAAATATTCAATGCTTTAAAAATTAGAAAATGTTAAAAATTTATTATAATTTAAGAAATATTTTTTTCCCAAGTCTATTCGCGTTTTTTTAATATTTAGAAATCTCACTTAACTTTTTGAGATCTCACCCTGTTTTTGAGAAAGGGTGAGAAATTATCTCTCATTTTTTTTCTGTAATGAAAACACTGCTTTAAGCTACAAAATCAGATGCATATACACACATTTCACAGAATAGCAAAACCTTTTTTTAAAAAATTTATTTGGATTTTTGACTCTCAAACTATGGAGGTGGCCACAATAAGGAAAATACTATCCCAATAGTTTAGTCAAGAAGGTAAGTGGAAACTTGAACTCTTATTCTTTAATTTAGAAGTGGTGAAATTTTTTTTGAAAAGGTACTGATATTCGCAATTGATTTCAAAATTTTTGAAAAATAAAAAAATTTGATCTTTTTTTGAAATTGTATTATTCAAAAACTATTGTGTCAATTTCGTTCAAATTTTGTATTTTGTAATATAAAATTACATGGTTCAAAATGAGGTAAAAATTTGTATAATTGTAAATTCTAACCCTTATTAAATTAAATGATGAAATATTTTAACATTTATAATATTAATAAATTATATTATTAATATTTTTATAAAATTATAATTTACATAAAATTGTCTTTGAATAAAGGAGTTTTGCAAATGTTTGCATTTTGCAAATTTCTTGATTAGTTTTAATAGTTACAGAGGCACAGTAAATTGTGCAAAAAGTGGAATTAACACTAGGGGGTTAAAACTTTCAACCAGTAGCCTGAACAAACTTTTAGGACCATATTCTCCTGATTGACACTATCCTCATATTTGAGAGTCAAGAATCCAAGTCAATTGAAAAAAATGATATGTTTATTTGAAGGCAGTATGTTTCGTTGATCTTTAAAAGTAAACCTTTTGATATGGCACTTAGCATGTCTGTTATTTTAGCAACTGCTTATATATCAAACAAAAGGTTATTTTGTAGCATATAATTTTGGGCAAAAATAAATAATAAGATGTATACATTTAGTTAATCATACAAGTTACTATGCTTGGTAGTTAAAATAATAAAGTAAACAAAGAATCTTTTCTTTCTAAAGAAGTTAAGTTTATTATGGTTACTCCGATTTTATTTGCTACCATGCTGAACTTGGGTGCTCATCAGCTAAATAAATGCTCAAATATGTATAAAAAAAGGGTTAAATTTCTCATATTGTCACTCAATAAATATGTGAATTGGATAAAGAAAATGGAATTATCACTAACAAATAACAATTTGCATTTTTGCTTTGAATCATATTGACTTCCATTATAAGTTATGGCTGACTAAGATTCAATTCATGCAAGGATAATGTTTGGACAAAAATAAATTTGTCCAAAGTTTTCTTTGATGTCTTAAGAAAATGTTTCTATTTTTTACTTTCTGCAATAATATTAATTCCATTGCAATATTTCTCTACTACGTTTAAAAATAGTATTTAACTATAATTACCTCTTTTATGATATTGACAAGAAAACCAAGAGCAAAAGAAGCTTTAACTTGACAATTTATATCTAAATCATTTGTTATCACACCTGGTAAATAGAATATAAAACTAAATCAACTGTATTAAAATACATTTGTGAGATTTTATAATCAATAGCATTAAATTTCTTTTGAAAAATAATTTTTCAGCACAAAAGGTACAAACAAAATATTATTTAGTCTTTAAACTAGTTTACTATAATAACAAAATAAAGTTCGACTATAATTTTAGTTTTGATAACAGAAAATAATTTCATCAGTAAATAAAATAAATTTGTCAAAAAAGCATTTAATTCTGCCTTTTCATTGTAATCCAACACTTAGCAACACTCCTTATCAGTACTTATAAACATATAAATAATCTAGTTAATAACTTTTAAAAGAAGTAAATAGTTAATTACTAAGTGATTTATAAACAATGTATAGATGCTAATCATTGCTCCCATTATTTATTTTATATTAGTGTCTATTTTCTAGCAATTGAATATACAAAATTTGATTTGCAATTTTATCTTTGAACAGTATTACAGAACTTCCAATTCTTGATAACATAACTTATATGTTAAATTATATTCATACATCAATTTCAGTTTTTTTTATACACAAACCAATCAGAAAAAAGAGATAATTTGGCCAATGTAACAATGAAATTCAATAATAATTAAGTCTTAAATTTTATAGTGAAATATAACTATTTATATTAATAAGTTTATGAAGAATATAAGTTTTATATTCTTTTATAAATTTCATTAAAATACTATCAGGTTTTCTAAAATAATGAAAGTTTTTAAAATTATTTAAATTTAAACAGTGGCTGGGGGAAAAAAATAGCAACAAACATTTATCTTAAGTAAAAATACTATTCTTTTATAGCTTCTAACCTCTAAACAAATGTATTTAGCTCTAAGCAAAATGTTTAATTTATATTATATTAAAAATAATATTAGTTATGTTTTTCAAGTTGAGATTAATTATGAAAAAAAAACTTTAATCTTTATAAAATGTAACAATCACAATGCTTAAAAATGTCACTTTTCTAAAAGGTTACAAAATAAAATTGTAAGTAAAAAGAAAAAAAATTGATACAGCAAAATTGTATAGATTTCTATAAATTGAATAACATTAGTAGAATTATAAGAATTTATAGAAAAACTTTATTACTTTGCAACCATTTTTCACTTTCATAAACTGCTGTTTGGAGGTTAGAGTCTGGAGCCATCAATAAATAACCTGGCACACTTGCATACAGTGAAACTAGAGCAAAAAGTACAGCTTCCTGTACAAATCTGCAGATTAAAAATAAGAAATAACAGTTTAGGTCAAAACAATAATAATAAAACAAATTAATTAAATTTGTATAATTCCCATCATAACAATTGCACACTTTATTCTATTTAGAATCTACAAACATGTTAAATAAAAAAGTTAACTTTTAAAAATTAAATAAGTAGGTAAATAGAATTGAAATAATGTATACATAAAAAGTTAAATTCAATTTTTAGAAGTTATGTTTGGTATATACAGTCAAACCCCGCTATAGTGAACACGGCTTATAGTGAACTCCCGGATATAGTGAACGAAATGCTCGGTCCCGTGCCTTGCTATACACGTATAATGTTATTTTTAGTGGATATAGTGAACCAAAAAAGTGAGGAAGTTGGATATAGTGAACTTTTTTCTGCCTTCGACTGATTCCCCCCCCCCCCATTTTCATAGTAATAATTTTGAAATTTCTACTTCAAAATAAATACATATACCGATTCTTAAAACCATCTATAGAAACTATTTTTATGTGCTCAAATGGCAGGTTAGACAGGTTTAAAAAGCGGAATAACAGAAATTCAGGAAAATTATCTGAGAGTCGGGAAGTGTTTCCATATCTGATGTTGAGGATTGCTCATCAGCTAATTTTTATTTGTACGCAAGACGAAGAGTGATGAAAAATAACACATTTTTTGCAACCACATAATATTTTTTAGTCATTTATATGAATATAATGTAATAAAAGGGAGGAGTTTGGGAAGCATTAGTGAAATTGCCTGTGTAACGGATATAGTGAACTCCCGGTTATAGTGAACCTAAATTTTGGTCCCTTGAAGGTTCACTATAGCGGGGTTTGACTGTATATGCCTTTAAAACAATATTGATGCTAAATTATTATACTTACATTTCTTCATGATTCCAAACACAGGGGAGAAATTCTAAGAAAACTTCTGCCATTTGAGGAGCATGCTAAAAACAAATAAACATTGTTAACACTAAAATTAAACTTCGAAATTATCATAACATTTACTTGAGGTACTTGGTTGCATTTTTGATATCTGCATTTTGATTTTGGTTTCATTTCTGATTTTTACACTCGGCAAAAAAGAACTTTGCACCCAGTATTGAGCAGTGTTAATTTATTTTATGCTTGTTACAGTGTTTGACTTAAACATTCTCATGATTATTCTTAGATACAAGTTAAAATTATAGTTGAATTAAATGTTTCTGTTTTTAAGAGAACTGTTTAAAAAATATCTGATCATAATTTTTATAGGAAATTTCAAAAAAAGCTTAGGATGCAGTACTTAGTAACTATTTGTAGGTAGATTACGCATCTAATCATAAAAACAGAAACATTAAGCCAATCGAGTGGATACTCAAGTGACTTAAACCTTTTTATTTTTAAGAGGTCTGTTTAAAATGTGTCCAACCATAATTTTTATAGGCAATTTGAAAAAGCTTAGGGAGTGGTATTTAATAACTATTTGTAGATATAACCTAATGGAATTTTTCAAGACTATAGTACCACTCAGTCACAACACACCGACTTACCAACCTAACTACTAAAATAAAAAGCTAAACTATTTCTAGAACTATGTTATAACATATTTAATAGACAGTTTTATTTTTCATGATTATAGTACTAGTCAGTTGCAGCACACAGACTTGCCAATGCCAACCTAACTGAAATGAAAAGCAGTGGACTATTTCTAGAAACATTCAGAGTACCATGGGTTTCAAAAGAAGTATCAAACCATAAACTTTACGGGCAATATAAAAAAGCTCAGTGTCCAAGACTTAGTATTAGTAGATGTAACCTCCTTATGTGCATACTCCATTTTGTTTTTTCATAACCATTGCAGAACGTTATTAAAAAGTAGGCACATATCAGTAAAAGTTGTCATATATCATTTTGGAATAGCAGAAAAATTTGAAAAAAAGTTGTTGCATCAAATTTTATTTAAAGCTTGGAAATTCTTAAATGGAAACAGTATCCAAAATCCACTTTGGGATCCTCAAATTTTAAAGAAAATTCTATGTAAGAATGTCTTTTTAAAACTTTTTTTTTATTTTGTTTCAAATTAAAATCTATCAACTTTTACTCACTTGTGTCTACTTTTTTAATATTGTAATGTGAATAAGTATTGCTATGGTCAAATAAGAAATGCTGTTGCATAATTAAACTTTTGTACAGTGTCACTATATTTACACCAGAAATAAATTTGTTACGACATACTAATAGAGATTATGGTAGCTAATCTGTTGGTTTAAGGTTTAACAGACCAACCAAAGCTGTGGTGGGCATCCGATCTGTTTATGTGTCTTCTTGTGGTAACAATGAGCCAGGGAGCATTTAGTGAAAAGTTTGTACTAAGCAGTTGACAAGGTGAAACCGACGGGGTTCGTGCAAGCGAGATATAAAATTTTGTTGGCACATATATAATTTAGACAATAAATTTATTATAATTAAAAAATTGCAAGTGTATTAAAAAAAAATTCAGACAAATATTTTTTTAGTTTAATGTACGTAAGTTTTGTAGTATTTTATATAATTGATTTTATAAAACAATTTAGAAAGATTGGTAATGTATCATCGCATGGTCAATCTTTCTTTGATAAAGATTCCATTACTTCTCTCCGCCATTGATAAAGGTAGGGATGTAAAACCTAATTCTAATTAGTATTGCAGCATTCTGCATTATTCTTTATTTTACCACTTTAAATCAACTGCTTCATGGCAAAATTATATATTGTTTCAATATGAATAAAAGTTAAAGCTTCACTATTTCTAAGTTCCATTCATTTATTAAAGAGTAATTTTAATTAATATTTTAATCAATGAATTAACTATTAATGAACTAATAGCACTTTACTTATTTCTTCCAATATCACGTATATGATGGCAAATATCACAATAACTTACATTATCACTCATATTGTTGTTATACTTTCAATTAATGTAATTATAATTAATAATAAAATTATAATTAATAACAAAATTATAATTAATATGATTAATTATTATCATAATAATGCTTGGTTGGTAAACTATTTCAAGACTGTTAAGACTCAAATAAGAAGTTTCCTTCAAATATTTTACACTATTTTCAATAAATGGGTATAGATATATGTAATCATAAATTAATTGTTAAGAAAGAAAAAAAAATGCCTTACATGAGAATTTGTAGCAGAATGAATCACAGCTCCAAGGGTATAAATTAACCGACCAAGCACATAACCATCTTCTCCAAATACTTTAAGGACCTTATTTTTTCTAAAAAATAATACAAGTAGTTTTTAATGCAGGAAGAAATAGAATTTTTGTTGTTGCAGTATAGTATAGTAGAATCCTGATTATCTGACGCCCTCAGTAACAAGGGTTGTCGAATAAACGGGATTTTTTCAAGACAAAATTTTAAATGCATAACAAATTCAGGGAAATTCATTTTTGTCTTCCGTTTATAGGCGTTTTTTAGCAGCCAAATTTTGAAGTTGATGTTACCAACAGTAATTGAGCAAAAACATTCGTAATGTGTTGGGACAATTTTAACAGGCATCGGAAGGGGTGTAATTTAACAAAAAGCATCACATGATTCAGCCTTGGATAAATTGACTTCTACTGTATTTAGATTGGTTTTATACCTTCGCAATAAAGATGAGAGAAGACATTGCATATAAAATATATAAAAAAAGCAAAGTAACTTTTGTATCATTACAATAAAAACTATTAGTGCACATACTATTAAATTACTAATAATATAACATGCTATTAAAATCACTAATAATATAGAATCCTACTAACTGTAATCTACAGGGAGGAGTTAGGTAAAAAACCAAAAGAGCTTAAAATAGAAATCAAAAAAATGTCATATGCAAAACACATTTTAAATAATTGGAAAAATACCTGAAATTTGAGCAAGAAAAAAGTATGTAGAAAACATATATCCATAGAATATTATTAACCTTTTAATAAAAAATATTGATGAATAATTATTTTTTTTAAAAAAAATTGCATGAAAACGAATTGATGTGTTATTTTCAAATTGAAAATTCAGATCAATATAAGTTATTTTAAATCACGTAAAGATGAATTGTGATTATTTGGAATATTCTGATAAGCTGCAAAGTAATGATATATTGTAAAACATCAATTGTTGAAAGCATCAAGTTTAAATATTTAGATTTAAAATGACACATCTCCGTGACGTCATTCATGTCACACATCCAGGAATTTTATATGCAATTTTTAAGAATTCTTACAGAAACCGTTAGTACTTAATTACATAAGCAAACAGTGAACAAAATTGAAATTTAATGTAAAATAAAATATTAATTTTTTCACAGGCAAATGACCAATATTGGTTAAGAATTTAATATAAGATGGTTCTAGCCATCTTCAACCAAATTCTCAGTAAGAAATTTTCTTATCCATAAAGTTTAAACCAAAAAAATAATAAATAAATAACACCTTTAGTAACTTTTGATTGAATTTTCATATACCACGACTTAATCTCAATTATTTGAGGACTTTGCTTTAAATGTGCAATCTAATTAGTGCAGATAATTCAAATTACAAAAAACAAAAACAAAAAAAAACACAGTTTCTTCTTTGAATAAACATACCTTTTTTCAGCATGATTCGCTAGATTTGGATTCCAGACTCTCAAAATATGGGGTAGGGGGAACTGTAATCTGGGAAATATGATTCCAATAGTTCAGTCAGGATAGCAGTTGAAATTTTGGATCCCTTGATGTTAATTTCACTTATTGCGCATTTTGTTATAACTTGAGAGTATTTTAAGCATGGCGAAAAAATGTTGGAAATTAATTTTTCAACTGGTTAATCTAAAGATAATTTCATTCAAAAAATAATTTTTAATAATTATTCACTATTTTTATTAATAATATTCAATAATAATTCAAACAATTTTGTATGTAGGTATACAAAGTTTTACATCATTTTAAAGGAGGTAATTTTAAATGGCAACATACAACTATTGAACGAAATCGATCGATTACATCTTGTGAATTTAAACTTTGAAGATAAAACTTATTTCATGCTTTTTTTTACTGGCCTGATTTCATTCAAAATTTTATTTTGCCACTTAAAATTCCATTCTTTAAAATTATATAAAAATTTGTATGCCACACTATTTAACATTTTTTTAGATCCTTATGAAATAAAATAATAAAAAATAATAAATTTTAATTGAAAACTATTTTTTATGTAGAATTATCATTCGATAAACGAATTTTATAGTTATGAGCAAAAAAATTTCGGTTCACTTACAAATTTCTCGAGATATGGCATAATAGATAAAAAGTAAAATTAACATTATGGGGTCAAGCTTTCACCCGCTCTCCTGACCAAACTATTGAGACCATATTTTTCAGACTGCGACTACTCACCAATTACGTCAAATAAAATGTATGTTTATACAAAGAAAGTATGTTTTTGTGCGATTTTAAAGCTTAAAATATTGTCTGCACAAATTATAGCATACTTACGTTTAGGTACTTGAACTTTTAAGATTAAGTGAGATAATGCAATCTTTAGATCAAAAGTTATTTAGAGTATTCATTTTATTTAATTTTGTGCACTGTACGTTAGTCTAAGTCATCTTCAATTATTTTCAATTATTACACTTAACTAATTTTGTCATTTTAGTTATTTTTCTTATAATTTAATTAAAATGTAACGAAACAATTTTGGAAATTTTATTCAGCAAAACAATTTTATTCAAATTTAAAGTATGTGGTGTTCTTTTATTATATTATATAGTAATTCTGCGATATTATACAATGGGGCAACATTTTTGATAAACATATTGAATTACCATACTACAATTATTAAACAAGAAATGAGTTTTAATGTTTATGATATATTTCATGCAAAACTATTTTACCTAATTAGATTAGAAATAGATAAATAATTACATTTTTAATGAAAATTAGACTTACTTATAATAAGTGTGTATTAGAGGAAAGAAGAAAAAACCAGCAATAGGAGCAAATAAATTTTCTACTGGTTCCGGAAGAGCCTTTTTTGGACCCTAAAGAAGCACATAGATTGTAAATCTTACTGATTTAAATAAAATTAAAAAAATTATATATAAATCTCAAATAACTGTCAAAAAAGGTTTTTCAAAAATTATAGAAAGAAATATGCATTATAAAATATTCAATTTTTTTAAATTCTAAAATGTAGTTTTCTTGATAAATCAGAACACCGATTTTAAAAATGTGAAAAAGCTGTTCTATAATTAGTCTGTTGATGAGAGATATATCCAAAACTACCAAAAATAATACATATTTAAAAGACTTACATCAATAGAAAATCTACCCTAAATGCCTATTTTAAAATAATTGGTAGCTAATGTGAGAATAATTCTCCTGAAGTACTAGTTATTGTTTATTTTAAAAATAATCCCTTGATTTATCTGAACAGAATTGTGGTCCCTGATAATTACAGTTAAGAAATAAAATAACAAAAGAGTTATGCCCTTAAGTAATGTAGCAAATGCAACATCATACAAAAGTGCAAAATAGTTAAAAGGAAAAATCACAGAATTTCAATGAGCATATTAAATAAAAAGTAGAAATAACAAAGTACCAAACTTATGAAATTATTTTACGCAACGTGAAAATATAATTAAGAACTAATTAATTTCATAAAAAACATAAACAGTTAAAAGAAGATAGTTTGAATTTGAATGAGTATGTTACCTAAAAAATTGAAATAATTAAACACAAAACTCTTGAAACTATTCTAAAGAATGAGAAAATATAATTAAGAACTTATGGAACATCATACAAAACTGCAATAAAGTTAAAAGAAAATTAAAAAATGAATCTATAAAATTATGAAGTAAAAAACATTTGAAACAATCTTAAACCAAATGAAAATATAGGATTAAAAATACCTTTGTTATGTATCTTGTTTTTGAAGCAATGCGTTCCTCAACAATTATTTTCCAAGCTTGCTTTGAAGATAAATTGTCTTTGGGTTCAGGATCTTGGATAACACTAGGATCAGAATGCGGCCGTGATAGCTGGAAACTTGATTTTGCTATTACCTTATAAAAAGGAATAAATGCCATTTTCAAAAACACTGAATATTAAGAAAAATAAAAAAAACAATAGCAACTTTTATGAAATACATCGATAATTGTAACAGTTATAAATAATTAAAAAGCACTAATCAATCATTGCTGACATTATGATTGATTGTGAGTAGATGTTTCTCAAAAAGGCACAAAAAGAAATAGTAGATAAAATGGGAGGGTGGTATTGTATTTTGTATTTAATCAAAAACATTTAAAATTACTATAACAGGAATACAAACATATTTAGTAAAAATTTAATAAATAATTAAAGAAAAAAAATAATAGTTTTATGATCTAACTATTTATAACAACAAAAGCAGATATAAGTTTTGTGAAACCAAATAAAAAAGTTATTTTAAATGCAATTATTGGCATAAACTATAAAAGAACAAGTAGTAGTTTTTGATGGTTTCATAATAATTAATCCCTTACTTAAATGATTTTTAAATAAGTTAATAAGTTATTTTTTGTGCTTGTTTCTATAGAAAAAGTAAAAAAAAGATATTCACCATATAAGTTAAAATACAAGATAACATAAAATTAATACATAGAAATGAATAGAAATAATGGTATGGCATGAATAACATAAACAAATCAACATAAAACTTTATGCTTACCTCTAACATATCTAAGCGTTGCTGTATATTGTAATTAGGTTCATAGAATTCCGTAGTCAGATATTTGACAACCTATCCAAAATAAATAAATATATATACATATATATATATTTAAAGTCGTTGCTGAGAGGAAGAATAAAACCAGGTCTTAAGCAGGGAAAGAGTGCACAATATTTATTTAATAATTATTAAAGAGAGAACAATCACCTAATTGATGCAAAATCAAAGGGCTCCTTAATTAAAAGTTAGGGAAAACCTTGCAAAATAAATCCATAAAATGTATCATTTTAGGAAATGGGGAAAATCTTAATAATTATAATTGATCTATTAAATGGGTGGAGAGAAAAATATGTTTCTCACAAGTTTGAAAAAGGAAAAGTGTTAAAATGTTAATTAATGCATTCTTAAACTAAAAACAGATTAAAAGACAGGAAGTGAATATTAAAGTGTGAGGAAGAGTGTTTTGTTTAGAATAATAAATAGAATAATTTACAGAAAAGGAATGACATAAAAAGATTAGTGAAAGCTTTTTATATTACATATATATAGATATATATAAAATGAAAATAAATAAGTAAAAACCATATTATGTACAGATATATCTTCTTAAGAGTATTTTTCAATGCTGGTTCTTAACAAGAATAAAAATCTGTCAAAAATCTTATTGCATCTTTTTTTTTCTATACAAAAAAGCAGTTGAAATCAATAACATTTAAATACACATTATGGACTTTCTTTCATTTCAGCAGTTTATTCAAACTGTTACTCTATTTTTACAGTCTGCTCAGTAGCCCATAGAAATTATTTGTAATAAAAAGTGAGCTGATATGTAATATTTAGAAATTTATTCTATTTTCTGTAATGCAAGTTAGATTAATATGTATCTTTGGATCTAAAGTTTCAGAACTGTAAAATAAATATCTACTCAAAATCAACAAATTTTTTTGTCCCCTTTTTTTAATGTTGGTATTTTTTATACATAGACAACTTTTCGGGCATTAATAATCATTTTCTATCTTTCTTTTTGGTTTTTTATATATTCATTAAAAAAATACTTAATATTTTTAAATTTAAAAAAAATATCATGAAAAAAATACAATTTGTGCAAAAAAAAGTGAAAATGCAAAATAAGTATATTAAAAAATTAAATAAACAATAGTGAGTGAAACATTCTACTTATACGAGAGGGGAAAAGAACATATTTTACAGATAGTAATTTTTCCTTCATTTTTAATAGTCAGTAATTATTTTTATCACTTTAAAATTTTAACACATAAGTAAATTTAAATTATTGGCAAGTTTTTGAAACATGGTAACTTACAGGTAAAGGACAATGCGTTGCAAGGCAAACTAATATTTTCATCCTCATACTCTCAAAGTTTTCAATGTTATACTTGTTCTCTAAATGGAGCACAACTTTAGTCATTTCTTCAGCAAGCTAAAATATAGAACATAATTTTTACAATAAGAATTTTTTAACTTAAATTGACAAATTTGCCAACTTAGTTCATATAATATGTTACAGAAGAAGTAGAAAGATCTTTGGGGAAAAATAGTTTAAAAAGAAATAAACTTTTTTCTTGACATCCATTAAATTTCCCACATTTTTGGAGCTGGTGGAATAAATTTTACAATTTAGTAATTTTATAATTTCGTTTTTATAAATTTAAAACTTTTTTTTGGAGGGCAAAAATACTATGATAACTCATAAAAGCAGATGGAATTGTCTTTATTAAAAAATAAATGCATATTTAACGTTAAACGATGTAGGATGTCCACATTTTCTCGCTATATCACGCTTTAAAATATTATTTTACAATTAAAATAAAATTTCCAAAATTTTGTTTCAATAATAAGAGCTTTCGGTTTTTTTACTAGATATTATATATTCATTCACATATTTGGCTTCAACTAACATTATAACTTAAACAAGTATCCAAATTGTGATAAATTTTTGCAAGGTGCAAGGAAAAAATGAAATGAGGTGCAGCAGCTTTTAACATCATTGCTTGAATGTTGATTTCAATTATAAGATGTTCAAGAAGCAAAATAAGATGTAATTTTTTTGGAGTATAAGACAGGATTCTTAAATATAGCATAAGAATTTTTCCTTCGTAGGAAGGAGAGTAATTTGTCAAATGGTCACCAACACAAGTTCGTTTAATAAAGATCAAGAGTTATGATAGTAAAAAGCAAATAAGATGATATTATATTCATTTTCAGATACTGATAACAGAAACAAATAAAAAATGTCATCCACTTTGCCTGCACACGTAAAACATTGTTATCTAAACATCAGAACTAGTAATAAAGGAATACGCAAAATAATTTATAACTAATAGCAGGGTTCCCATAACCTGGAAAAATTAAATGAATAATAGCTAAGATTTTGCAATACTACTGAAAAATACTTAAATTTAGCTTTCATTTGAGAATTACGAAATTATTCCAACAAAATTTTTTTCACTCCAATATAACGGAATTTTTTTCACTTTAAACTAAAAATTTATTGATAGCTTAAAACATCTAGATTTATCTCAGCTACCACTTTAAAAAAATTTTCAGAGCATTGGAAGCCTGTAATTAATACTACTATAAATAGGATAGCTGAACTGTACATAATTTCTATAATTGTAATAAATACACAAAAATTAAATTTACCTCATGAAGAGTATCAGAATTTGTAGTTATTAATTTTTCAGCATGCTTTAGGCATTGTTCTAGCCAATCTCTGTCTTCTTGTTCAATGATCCCATGCAAACAGTCATTTAAGTACAAAGGGTATTTAGGTTTCTTTAAAACAAGATCACTAGTCATGTCAAAAGGTTCTAAATCATCATCACTGAAAGGAAACATCACTATATTTTAGTCTTTTCCAAGCTGCAAGACCCCACAATTTTCAAACTAAAAACATTTAGCAAAATTTTTATGACTTTTAATTCTTCGTACTTTAGTGAGTTTTTCTATATGGGTGAATAACTTCATGAAACTAAGAACTGGTAGTGTTAATGATAAATGTAATCAACAAGATCTCCCAGAAACTATTTGTACATATTTTACGGTCAGTCCTAGAGTTTAATTTTTGTTTAATTCTTTTTACATGGAGCCACAATGGCTCAGAGGATAGAGTGTTCATCTTATAATGAGGTGACCTAAGTTCAAATCCCAGCGATGGCTGGTTGATACAAAATTCTGCTCATGACTTGCACGCCCATAATGCTGATGTAACATATCTTCTGCGGCAGACTGATGATGGGGTAGAATCCCTTTGCTATCAGGCTAGCTGTGGGAGGTTTCGGTGGTTTTCCTCTTCATGCAATGCAAAAACTAGTTAGTTCTATTAAGAAGTCCCCCACGAAGGGTAGTTTGTCCCAATGCTATATCCAGGAGTCACCTTGTCTTTTGGATTGGGTTCAAAGTTACAAGGCTACGAAGTTGAACAAAGATGGTCGTAAATTCAGAATTGGGTTGGCTGTTCAATAATTTATATAAAATTCTTTCTACATGTATTCATGATTAAGGGTGTTTTTTGAAGCTCCTTTGCAGAGAAAATTAAAAAAAGGCATAGTTTTTAGAGTGTTAAACTCAAAGCAAAGTAAAAATTTCAAACTATATATATAAACTTCTAGAAAGAATTATCTGGGCTTTCGAAAGAACAAATATCTTCAACAATTAAAAAATTATTGCACTTTTTAAAAATTACCCATTGGGCAAGATTTTTTCACGTAGATAAAAATCATTGATAACGATAAATATTTTTTAATTTTATTAGCCTCAATATTACGACTGTCTCATATGAACTTCATTATTTTGAGTGTCTTGCATTAAAATATATTTAAATAGATTTGTAATTAAAATAAGTCATTTGAAATGTTTTCTATATGAAAAGCACAAAATCCCTATTTTATCGCTAAAAACAACTTTGCTTTTTTTTTTTAATGTGTTTCAATGTAGTCCTATTTTTATAACCTCTCCTCAAATCTTAGTCACAATAGATTGACATTTAAACAGAAACATTTTTTAAAGACATTGAAGAAAAGTAAAGGAGAACTTTTGCAATGCTAAAATGCAAGCAATGAAACCCATTCAACTTTACCTATCATCCAAAGGAGCAACATTTTGCTTTTCTGGAGCATTCTTTTCAAGATGTTGACTATCCCATTTCTTTTTTGAGGATTCTACTTCTTTGAAACACTTTAGATCTTCCTCAAAGAAACTAAAAGAAGAATAAAATTTTAATTACATTTTGAATACTTGTTAGGAGATTGATCAAAAGTTAAGAGAGAAGCTTATATTTTTATGCATGAAAGTAACGAAGCATTGAAAAAATTTTAAGATCCAGTCATAAAAACAAATCTTAATAATAATAAATCGAAATTTTTTTTTTTACATTAAGTCTTTTCCTGGACTATGTTGAATTTTGGTAAAGCTTTGAAGATATTCCACCATCTTTGTATCACTAATTTCCTAAAATAATAAATAATGATTTGTTGGAAACCATTTCAATCAGGAAATTAAATTTTAAATAATTACTATTTACCATCAGAATGACATACAATATAATAAAAAATTACCAAATAACTACACTTATTCTGTGCATTAAATAAAAGTTGCAAGATGTTGCTCTCACATTGACTCACATAATATCTAAACAGTTACATTCAGTTTTGATAACTATTTTACTTACAATAACCAGACTGAGTGAAAATTGAAGATTTCACAGAATTTTTTTTTATTATCCAATATTTAAATTTGGGTTCATAAGCTTTTTAAAACTGTTTAAAATTTTCATCTCTGATTTTTAGAAATAAAGTTACAGTTGTTTTTTTTATGCTGACAGACAAAAACGAAACTGGAAATAAACTCACAAAAACAAAACTGAAATGTTTTAAGTTAAATGTTTCGCTTTGAGTACTTGAAACCTTATTTATTTGAATAAATTACATTTTTAAGAAAAAATTCATTCTCAGAAATTAATTTTCAAATAATTATTTTTTTTGTTGGCAGAATTTTCTTACGTTTCAGAATTTTATATGCATTTTTTTCTGAAAAACATTGGTTTCAAAAAACTTTCTCCACGATAATTCACATTACACAAGAAGTTTGTTACATAATTCTTTGAAATTTTGAATGTAGATTTTATATAATGTTAGCAATGTTTTGAACTAAAAGTTAAGAGCTAAGTTTGAATTTGTTTATTTTTATTAAGTTTTAAGTAAAAATATTTAGAATTTTTCTTTACAAATTTAATATTAAACAATATATTAAATTTTATTTCATTGTTTTTTTTAAATTATTTCTTAAAATTTTAGTTTAAAACATAGGCAATCACATTATTGATCTAGAAAAAAAAAATTATTTTGAAATTTATGCATCTCAATTTATTGAAGAGCTCTTAGCATAATATGAAAAATTTCTCAGGCACAAATTTGCCCTTATTTTAGAAAATATATTTTATAGATTTTTAAACTTTACTTTAAATTTATAATATTTCGAATTCTATTCCATCTGATCAAGTATGAAATTAAAATTTTAATTAAGCCTTTTTTAAAACAAAAATTTTTATTAAAATCAGTCAGATACTTTACAAAAAAAGAAGATTAAAATATTAACTTTTGAGAATGATTGTATGTCAGTCCATGTACAAATCTGTGCTCATCTAGGTATTTTTTAATGGATTCAAAAATTGATTCTTGAGACATCTGATCAGTAAAGAAGTTTGCACGGGGCAAAGGATCAAGATATTTAACCAAACGAGACATCCAGTCAACAAATAAGGGCATTAAAACTTTTAAAAGATATATTTTGTTCAAGTAAAACATTTTAAGAATTTTTTTAAATAAGACATTTATTATCATTGATTAATTTGTGTTTCATTTATATAAAAAAATGTGTTCAAAATACAGATTTTTATAAATATGTATCTTTTTGTGTGTCCTCTCTTACACTTCCTTTCTAGGGACATCCAATCCATGAGATTACGCTTCTGTGCACGACTGTATCTGATTAATATGTCAACTTTTAACATGTTGTAGTTAAATTTTCAGCTAATATCTTAATCTAAAAATGAAATAAGACTTTCATTATTACACAAAAGTTTTTTTTTTTAGCATACCTCAAATTTCAGTTTTTCAGCATTTGGATCCATAACAGACAGTAAATCAGCTGCTACTACCATTCCGATTGTTTGAACAAATTTATCAGGATTTCCAATTCGTAGTTGTGTACCATTCAAAATATCAGACAGATAGGCTACAACATTGAATACTCATAAAATAACTGACTTTTAGTTCATAAAAAAAAACTACCGTAAACCGGGGCGAGTCTACTCATCCAGGGGCGAGTCTACCCATTTTAGTTTTATTTAATTTTCACTATTTTAAATTGCAAGTAAATTCTTTTTACCGATGGAGGACTTAATTCAGACTCTAAGGAAGATGGCACTGTAGTAGTTTGATCCGTTTTTATTTATTTGGTGTTTTTTTAACCGACCTGTTCAAACGTCTTTTGAGAGATTTGTATTGAAAATCAGCAAACTTTTAGTTGGTGCTCCGTAAGTATATTATTATTATTACTATTTTCACTTTGGTTAAGTGATAAACTTATCTAAGACTAAGATTACATTAATTTTATATGAAAAAAAACAAAAAGAATGTAAGTTTTGCTGTTGTAAACAAAAAGCCAGAATTCGCGGGGCGAGTCTACCCATTCGTATTTAGTTTTAATAAAGCATAATAATATAATTTAGAACTTTGTTTATATTAAAATTAAGTCATTTTAAATGAATTTGAGTATATTATTTTAATTCTGCATTGATAAATTTATCATTAATAAGAAAATTTATAGGTTAAATATAAATGTAAATATAAAATATGTTTATTTTACCTATTTTTTCAATTTTTATATTACAAAATTAACTTTTTTTATTTAATGCAAGTTAAATAAATTATTATTTATAAATTATTATTACCTCCCAAAAGAATGGGAAAAGGATTTTTCATGATTCCCAATGTTTGAATTTCGATTTTGTTAATAATCTTTAATTATTATTATTTATTAATTATTTAATTGTAAATTTATATTAATTTTAATTTATTTTTATCAACAATAATCAGAAAAAAATGTTATTTTATAATGTTAATGATTATAAAAACAAAACTGTGATCAAAATGTGATAATCGATCAAATACTCAATTTGTGTTATTTTATGAATAAAAAAATGGAATATATAATAAAGTTATGAATTTTACTTCATAAATATCCTATATAGTAACTAAAATAACAATTTAATAGTAAAATTTGATTATTTACAATGTTAACATTCATTTTAGTAGAATGGGTAGACTCGCCCCATACGAGAGATTTGTCAGCAGTTCTATAAAAATATACAGTAACAGCGTAACTGTTAATATTTTCTAAAATCGATTTCACAGCTTTAAAGAGGGATAAATAGCGATTCCGAAACACCTATTAAAAGCCTTTTTTCTTTAATATTTACAAAAGTTTGACCACTTGAAGGTTGACAATCTGAAAAAATGGGTAGACTCGCCCCGGTTTACGGTATTATTTTAAAATCATTTCAGTTAGAATTAAAAAAAATTTCACTTAAATGAACTTTGCAATAAAAATGAAAGCATATAGGAAGTAAATTAAAATTATTCCTTTTGTTTTTAATGAATAACATGTGAAAATAAAAGTTTACAGCAAGGTATTGGATACTTTTACTCTTACAGAAAAATAAGGATTTTTGTCGATTGCTTAGATTATATCAGATTTTTTTTTTAATTTTGTAAGCAATTGGAGATAAATAAAGACTTCAACTTATAGATAAATAAAGACTTTAAATAAAACTATGATGTAAAATAATTTAATAAGAAGTTTTATTTTACCTTTTGTCCTATCAGCATTTTTCAATAATTTAAACCACCCACAGCATATCATCAAAGCAACAGCAATATACATTTGTTGGTCATGGCTTTGATACTTAAGGTTATAAGCATTAGTCCAATCTTTGAGCAATAACTGAAAAATCTATTAGATATGAAAGAATTATGAGAAGTTTTGTAATAAACAAGAAAATATTTTGTGCAATATAAGTTCAAATAAATATGTTCTAACATATAGAATAGAAATAAATATTCTTTATGAAGTATAAATTAATCATTGCAAAACTTCACTTAATATCAAAAAAGTTAGACTGAAAAATGATTTTAAAATAAGTCAGCAGATGATAAACATAATGATATTCTAAGAACATATTTTCCAATTTTATTTGACTTCAATATCAGGAAAAAATGAAAATATGGCATCAGTTAAAAATATTTAAACATTCGAAAAGGTAAAATTTTTAGACAGTCAAATTATAAAGACTTCCTGAATAGTTTTGATTTTATTTGAAAACACACATAAAAGTTTTGAAGAAAATTAACATTAGATATAAATTTCACTTTTATGAAGTTTCCTTAATGTTAAATCAGGTATGGCAATTTTCATTCACAGTGGGAAAAAATCGTCATAGAAGAAATAAGTTTCTTCTATCTCAAGTGGAAGAAATTCTCTTTCCAAAAAAAAAAAAAATACATCGAAAAAAAAATTTATACTGTTTATAATTGCAATCAAGTTTAGTTAAATAAATTAATATCGAAACTACATAAAACATTTCAAATAAGTGAAAATTACAAAACAACAATAAATAAATTTAATGAAACATTTTGTGAAATAAAAATAATAGTAGTTCTTCAAATAAATACAGCAAAACCTAATTTTATAATTATATAAAGAACAGTCAAAATATCATAATCAAATTTTATTAATACTATTAAACTAACAAATCCCATACTTAAGGTCTACATTACTACAAATCCCATATTTTTTAAATTGACAATTTCAAGAAGCATGAGAATTGCTATAATCAAATGCTATAAAGTATGAATACGTAAACTCACTCATAAATAAAATGATACCAAGATATTAAAATTCTGTATAAAAATAAAACAAATAATACGAAAACAGTTATTTTTTTAGAAAAATAAATGTGAATAACTTTTAACATCATGTTTTTATTTAGCTTATCATAATTAATACATTTTAATTTATATTTTTAATTTAACATTAAATTATATTTCAGATTGGTCCTTCCCCTTTTTTTTCTGACTATTTGAAGTCTCAGAGATTAATAAAGATCAGTATCTTGAAGTAAGAGAATAATTAAGTGCTGAAGTTTTTATATATATGAAAAAAATGCAATTCAGAAAAATAGTCGATCAAGTGTAACAAGTAATCAGCATTTACTAACCTTCCAAAAGTGATCTTGGCGACTTTCTGAGCTAGCAAAATGACCAATAATATTTTGAAGAATTAATTTCTAAAAAAATGAAGAAGAAAAAAAACATATACATAATTCTAAAAATCTTACACATTAATTTAAATTACAATTCTAATATAAACTTAGAGTTTACACTAATTATCTAAAAAAGCATTATCTAAAAGAAGAGCATTACAAGATTTTAAATTTCTTTTGTAAATGCAAGATCTATGGTTTTCAGTATGTTTTTATAACACAAACAGAAGTAATTGAATTTGCATGTGAAAATTTGTGTAATGTAAGAAACAAACATAAATAAAAAAAATTAAAAATTACTCAACATAAATTTTCTGTTAGTTGAAAAAGAATCATCAACAAAATTTTTTTCTCATAAAATAATTTTTCCAACTCAATTTTTGAAAGAAAAAAAAATTTTCTAGTTTACACACGAAAATTTCTCAACAAAATTAGGAGTGATTGCTGTTTTTTTTTGTGTGTGTGTGTAGAAATAAGACAGTGTTCTATCAAAAACACCATTTTGTATGAACACATGAAAAAAAAGAATATCAGAATATCAGAAATGAATAAAAGATCTTACTTGCTCAAAATGTTTGAATGTGATTAATTTATTTGTTAATAAATAATTTAACTTTTCAGTCTTTATCGTTTCTTCTCCTAATATCCATTCAACATAGCCATACCTAAAAATAAAATGTTTACTCATTTATCTTAGATAACGAAAAGCTTAAAAAAACAGGGAAAGATATTGAGAGAAAAATTTAAAAAAACTTTTTTTGTTCGATAATTTTGTAAAAATTTCAGAATGATACATAAGAGTAATAGAGGGCAACATGAAACTTAATATTTATATCAGCATATTATTATATAGTAATAATTTACTGTTTATCTTTTTAAATAACTGACATTCTGCAGTTTCTGATACTCAAACACTCAAATTAAAATAAGAAATTATTCATTTATTACTTTTGAAAGAATGGCATTCAAAATTTTTCAAAATAAATATCAGAGTTATTTACAAGAATTAGACGCAGAAGTTCTGCAACAAAAAAAGGCTCAAAAAACTCTTTACTATACACAAACCACTATAAATTAGAATTATACATTTTTAAAAATAATAAAAAAACCCAACATTTTTTTTAAACAGAATATGCACCTGGAACCCTTGATGGCACATGAGTTATAGATTAGGTTTGTCACAAATAAAATATTTCTAAAAATTAAATAAAATATTAATGTCAATATTTTATTTAATGTAATTTGGTTAGTAGAGAATGTTAACTTTATATCCTTATTAACCATTTTTTTTAAAAAAAAATTGACAAGGGATTTTAAATGGTTTGGTATATGAATAAAATAAAGTATAAGAATATTTAAATTAAGATATATAATAATAATAAGAATCTAACTATACCAAGGAATTATAAGCAGCATATGGGTAACAAATAGCTCCAAAGAGCTCATTGGCATTTTCTTAAATAAATTTTGAGAAAGCTTTCTCCAAATAAAATCAGACTCTGTACGCTTAATGAATTCAACACACAGCTTTTTTGACAGTATCTCTACAAAATAAGAAATAAACATTAGATTCAATTTAAAGAAAATAAAGAGTAAAGAAATAAAATAATGGTAAAAAAATACAAAGCATACTATGTCTATTAATCTGTATTAAATTTATAGCAACACTTTTAATAATGAAAATTAAGATTAACACAAAAATGGCATAGATTTTAAATAGGATCAAAGATTTAAGATCATACATTAAGATCACACATTTAAAATCATAATTTAATGTTGTTTATTAAAAGTAATTTTATTATAAATTATTAACTACACAACTTCAAAAATTTCTAGGTAAGTTGGTGAGGTTGATTGCTTTAGATTCTATAAAGGAATTTGTTTGATTTTTCTTGTTTCACCCGTCTTTACATTATTACTAGCGTTACTGTAGTTTAGTTTGACTATCACTGCATATATTTCTGTAAAAAGGAAGTGTGTTATGTAATCAGTATAGGAAAAATACAATATTGTATTGTGAATGTAATCAAAAGAAAGCGTTTAAAAAAAATAATTAATGTCAACTTCAAAAGCCATCGATATCAGCTAAGTACAGTACAGAACCTGTTATCCGGAAATCAGAAAACCGGAAAACCAAAAAACCGGAACGAAATTCAATAAATTTTCCTGCCATTTTTAAAAACTAAATTTTTTTCCTCATAAGATTTTAGGATTTTTCTTTCTTTTTTGAAAGATGTTTACCTTACCATCATTTTGGAAATAATCATTAGTGTATTACTTCATAGTTTTTTCTTCTTTTTAAGATAATTCAAAATATTATTTTTTAGTTGGGTTTAACAATAAAAAAAATGGCTTTTTGTTGCGATTCAGAAAACCGGAAAAATCAGTTATCCGGAATAGCGATGGTCCCGATCGTGCCGGATAATCGGTTTCCTACTGTATTTAAATTATAATGCTGTTCTGTACAAATGGTTTATTTAAAAAAGGAATGAAGTTGTCCGGAATAGCGATGGTCCCGATCGTTCCGGATAATCGGTTTCCTACTGTATTTAGATTATAATGCTGTTCTGTACAAATGGTTCATTTAAAAAAGGAATGAAGTTGTCCGGAGCAATAAACTTTGAATTTTAAATTGAAATATCTATATGCCTATTTGAATAGAAAAGACATTTATTAACAGGTCATATTAGAATAAATACTGTAAAGCACTATTATCAAAAATTGATATTCAATATTTATTGAGAGATTGAATCCTATAATCAGACTATTTATTATACCTGCTTATAGTGGATAATTACAGTTTATTACTGGAAAGCACTTTTAATAATAAACTCAATAATCAGAATTTATTAAAAAGATTTAACCTGCATAAGCAGAATATTTACTATATCTGATTATAGAGGTTAATTATAGTATAAATACTGTAAAGAAAAGAAAAGGAAAGAGAGAAAGAAAAAGTACTTCATAATTTTTATCAAATAAATTGTACCTCTTAATTAAGGCCGGCACAGAAAATATATCATAATAGCATCATTAGCAATAGCACTGTATGCACAAGATATAAAATAAATATCAAGAAGACAAGTTTTTCTAATAACTGCATTAAAAATGTTTTTCTAAAAAAAGAGAAAGAAATACAAGACTATACCTGTATTTCCAGTGATGCATAATCTTCCAAGAAGACTTCCAATAAATTCCAGAGTACAGTTTTGTCCATTAGAGATTTTGTCACGTAACACTGAAAGAACTTTAATAATATTTGATGCAAGAAGAGGCACATAGAAATTATTCCTAAATAGTTTTCTAAAAATAAAGAAGAGACTAATTAATTTACTGTTAATGCATGGAAAAAAAGCTTATATTTTGAAATATACTGAAAATAACATGATTATACGAGGGTTGTAAATTAAATAGTGGCAACTTAACCTTGAAACTCACAAAAGTTCGCGCATGCGTAAATAGGGTATGGGTGCGGTGAGGTGGCGCTGTTGTCGATGTGTAGAGTGCAAAAAACAGTCGATTTGCTTAGAAGGGTAGTTGTTGCTTGACGTTGAAGTGAGGAGTTTCGTTTCCATCGCTCTAAAGCATGTTGTGAAAAGGCTTATTGACGAAAAAAGACAAGATGCTTGAATCCATCGTGCTACTGTCCTATATGGTAAAGCATTTGCTCCAAAGGCTTCCACTAATCCTCGATAGCATTCTGTTGCATTTTTGCCACGGGCAACCTCGATTGTAAGCCACGACCGCTGATCACCTTTTGAAAACATGCTTTAGAGCGATGGAAACGAAACTCCTCACTTTAACGCCACACAACAACTACCCTTCTAAGCTAATCGACTTTTTTTTGCACTCTACAGATCGACAACAGCCCCACCTCACAGCTCCCATATCTAATTTGCGCATGCCCGTCCTTCTGTGAGTTTAAAGGTTAAGTTGCCACTATTTAATTTACAACCCTCGTATAACAAGTATTTAAATTTTTCTCAAATACTTAATTCAACAGTTTTGTAAAACTCTTGATGAAATTAGTACTTAAATAAATTAAATCAAGATACACGAAAAGATTTAGAATTTATTTATTAAACAATTTTTCAGCTATTATTTTGAAAAAATTTATAGATATAAAGCTGAAATTGAATGATTTAGAAAATTGACAGATTAATGATTGAGAATGATCCCAGAATTTTCAATTACGATAACGGAAGAAAAATTATATACATGTTGTAACTTTTTTTTTTATCAGCAGTGAGTTTCAAAATGTTTCTGTATATAATTTGAGAAGTCGCGACTACGTGCAATAAGGTTATATATATGTACTAAGGTTTTTTGCATAAATTTATAAATTGGCTAATTAGGCTAATTTTTATTAAGTAATCAATTAAATTAATAATATGGATATTAAATAACTGTAAAAGGTGAAACAATTGAGCAAGCTATATTTTGCATTTAAACAAATATTAATTCACCCAATTTACAAATTGAATTTAAGCATATTAGTCAGCGATGTTCTTCCTAAGCATTAATAAGAGTGGGCCACAGTGCTTGCCATTTGATCCCTGTAAATGCGTCCTCATTGCCCTTTTTGTGAAAATAAGCCACCATCCCATAAAAACACTACCTTTTTATTTTTTCAAAAAAATATTTTTTTCTTAAACACCTGTTTTAGAAAAAATCCACATCTGATTTATTTAGAAACTGATAATTATTTAACTTTAATTTTTAATTCTAGTAAGTTCCAGTCTAGTAGTTTCCATTCTAGTAAGAATTTTCTTAAGCTGTCTAGTTATATAGTTAAAGTTCACAAGATATTTAGCCCCAGAGATATTTACAACTTTTATTCTTTGGGGAGGATATATTAAAGTGATTTTAAATTTTACTATTATATTTTTTTAAATAAATACCTCTTATTTAAAAATGCACCATTAAATGTTTGTTTTTTTTTATAATTTACAGTTTAAAATAAATTTTAAAAAAAGTATTTAAGTTAGTTATTCATCAATTAATCCCTTTTTTTTTAGCTTACTATTTTTGAAATTATTTATATACAGAGATTATCTTTTAACTTGCCTTTAATTATTTTTCAAAAGCTTACAATTTTTCAGTTATTTTAATAATGAGTGAGAATTATTTTGTGAGATATACACATAAAATAGCATAAGAGGGGGATTAAAAAATTGAGGATGAAATTCAGTTATTACATTCTATTACATATTTAGATAATTTTAACTCAAAGTGCCCTTTTTCTGTGAGGAAGCACCCTGGCACCTTTACCTTCCTGGGGAGAACTTTGTCGTCAGTATTCAGAATAATAATCCATTGTGCAAAATATGAATTAAATTCAATATATTTGTAAATGCTTGGAATGATAAAGGCAGAAATGTTATTCAATAAGGAATGCCTTTTCAACTGAAAAGGATAATTTAATAACTATTTTAAAATATTTCATTGTATATTTTATAACTCAAGCTGTAAATTTATTACAATACAAATATATTGGGGCCGAGATAGCCTGGTTGGTATGGCACTGGGCCCATGCCCACCATCTCGTGGGTTTGATCCCCGTCGGCCGAAGATTCCCCGTGTAGAAAATGGTGACTGATGCACATTAAATCTGTCGAGTCGCAAAGTCCTCCATGTGCCCATAACAAATCAATACCTCTGAGGGTACTGATCTAGGAGCTTCCTTGTCTTCTGGATTGGTTCAAAATGACAAGGCTATGGAGTTGAACATTAGTAGTCGCAATTCCAAAATTGAGTCGGCTGTTCAACAACGGATAAAAATATATATATATATATATTAGGGTCAGGCTAACAGTGGGAGGTTTCCTTCTCCATGTAACACAAATGCGGCTTAGTTCCATCAAAAATGCCCCTACAAAGGCAATTTTCTCCAAATACTTTGATCCAGGAGTTCCCTTGTCTTCTGGATTAGGTTCAAAATTACAAGGCTATGGAGTTGAACATTAGTATTTGTAAATCCAAAATTTGATTGGCTGTTAAAACGGCGGTTATAAAACACAAATAAATAATAAGAGTTTTTAATTTTTTAAATTACTGTTCAGAATTAAAGAAAGAAAATTTTGAACAACTTACGGAATATTTTCTCCTTTAGTCTTATTTGCGATTCTCTCTGGCAATGATATAATAATGGTTATCAAATCATTCCAAATTTTTGATAATAAAACATAGCTTGGGTCCCAAATTCCATGGCTTGTGCATTGGTATAAAATTAAATTTTCTAAACTGGGTCCTTTCAAAAACTTTTGTAAAACATCGAGAATCTTTTTCTGTTGATAGCCTTCACTAAAAAATACAAAGAGAAAAAACATATTAAAGCTCTTTCAAAAAAATCTAACAAATAATACAGTCACTTACTGTAAACAGATGTCATTATTTAGATTCAATATTCTAACAATATTGAAGAAAACTTAAGAACTACTTTTTTAAAGTAGAGAAATGTTAATTCATCTCATATAATTGCATGTTAGACCAGGGAAAGAAACTAAACAATTTCAATTCAAAAAAGGGAAAATTTTCAAGTAATGTTACAAAATTTTTCTGGCTCTCTCTTCATCATATTTTTCGTTACTCGCATTCTTATAACAGGTGTTTGTGGTATAGTCGCTTCAAGGACCGTTTTTAAAGAGAAATGATTGAGTAACATCCTGATATGAAATTATTAATGATACAAATATTAGTTTTTTTTATAATTATTTTACGTCTAAGTTCGATTTTTTTTTTTTTTAATCCAGCAAAGCAAAATTTATTAGCAGATGACTTACGATTTTTATTCAAACATAATCTAACTTTGTTCAAATTTCGCAACAATAAATTGTCAATTTTATTCTTTTACTTATTCTTCTTCATAAAATTTTTGATTTTGTAGATGTGAAAGTAAAACTAATTGGAATAATTTTTTTCGTGGTTTCATATCTGAAGATGAAAAAGATCCTGACCTTGGCTAAATAAGCGTATAATATACTTTCATTAAAAAACTTATCTAGATATTTGATAATGAAAAAAAAAAAAAAAAAAAAAAAAAANAAAAAAAAAAAAAAAAAAAAAAAAAAAAAAAAAAAAAAACAGAAAGAGAAAAATTGCAACCGTGAGATAAGTGAGGTTCGTTGTTTGACCAGTAATGCTTTCTCAAACCCTGCTTATACTTTGTACCCCTTCCCCATACATGGCAATTTGTTAGAAGTCTGGATGTCAAGCTTCTCTTAATTGAGGCATACCAGATATTGAGATGAATCAAAACTTCAACATTGTTTCATTGCCACAAAAAGATTAATCAACACACGCTCTTTAAACACAACCGAAAGTGATCAGACAACAGTCCACCAGAAGAAAACTGCTTATTATGGCGGTCCATGTTAAATGGTCTCAGACTGATGGACCACTAATAATTTCGAGGCATGTTGATAATTTGTTTAAAATATAATGCTGTTTAAAAATACTATTTATTAGAGAGAAGAAAGTATTGCACACACAAAATGACTATATAGAACAATAACTGATTCCTGGTTTAACTGCTAAATAGCTTTCTTAGGTACATACTTTAAAAATATGGGTATCTTTTTCATAGGTACAAATATGTGACATTTTTCATCAGAAAGAGGTTTTTTTCAACCTGAGTGAGTTTATTATAAAAGAAATATCAAATATTAAAAAATAAATGTAGACCTTTGTCAACTTTTTATTTATTTATTTTTTAAAATTTTTTTCCTTTCATTCATTTTTTTAAACAATGAACAAAATAGACATTCACAAAAAATTAAATAAACAAAAGTTAAAACAAGAATAGTTTAATTTCCTTGCACCTGGCTAATTGAAAGAATTTAAGGAAAGGATTCAGAATTCCTCTACATTTATCAAAAATCAATATTTCTAGCAGCTTTGAGAAAAAATTGCTACACTCTTAAATTTAAGTTTAAATTATTTGGAATATTTCCATATCATAATCTTCGCAAAAATAATCGCTACGTCTTGGCGACTTTCAGCCGTGGCTCATGAGAAACTAATTAAAAACATTACAGAAGGGGTTGAAATTGAAAGATATAACTTGTATCCCCCAGACAAACCCCTACATGTATTTTATTTTTACTGTATTTAAAACCCATTTGACGTCTTAGCGATTGAGGTGGGAATATTTTAGTATCGTAATCGGTCAAGCCAATTACAATTGCCAAGGTGGCAAATAGAGTTTAAACTTGTAAATTAAAAAAAAAAAAAAAACATGTTGATGTCAGCCCAGAGGTCACTACGAGTTATAAAGTTTGAGTTTGTCCCTTTCTGTGATGTTTTTTTTAAGCGTATTATTTGCTTCACGGAAGTTTCCAAGACTTGGCAATTATTCTGCCACACATCACAACACGGAAATCTTCCCCATCGTAGTTGTTCTTGATTCGGGAACATTCCCAAGTGGGAATATTTCCAGGTGATATTACCATACAGAGATCTACTCCAAAATAGTACCAAAGTTACTATAGTAGCCAAAATAGTTTTGGCGACGTTATTTAGTGGTAGTGACCTACGAAAAAAATCGCAGAAAGGGTATAACTCGTAGCCACTCCATGTTACTGTTTCTTCCTACGAAACAAGCAAACTTTCTAGATCACAAACTAAATTTTGGTGTCACAGCTTAGGTAATTTCATATTTGCTCAACAAATGTATAAAATATCAAATGATTACCAACTCTCGCCAAATTTTTTGACTAGAACGATAAAAGCTTCATGATGAATTCCCTGAAGAAATATGCCATCAAACAGTTTCTCTTGCTCTTCCTCAGAAAATAATGTTGGTTTTAAAGAGTCAAGTAACGTTTCAGTGACGAAGTAATAGTCTGATGATGTTGTAGAAAAGTCACTGTTTTTAAGAGTATCGAAAAATTCTTTAAGTAACTTCCATTTTGATGAGTCACTCGGTTGGGCTGTAAAGAGCTTTTTTAAATCTATACATATTTCATGAAAACTTGTTTCTACTGACATGTTAGTCATTAAATAATGAATGAGTCATTAAATAAATGAGAAAAATAGTGTATTTAAAAGTCGTCGAAAGAAACTTTGCCAGACTTTACGATGTTTTCATTTTGACGTTTTTGCACTACGAATCAATAAGACTTTAACTGCTGCAGAAAAATCTAAAATGTATAATTGTAAAAAAATATTTAACATTTTAATAAAATATGAGTCTTTAATAAAATTAAAAAACAACTTTTCAAATCCGGCACTCACAAACAAAATTGCTTTCTTTATTTACAAATAAAGCTAACTGTTGCCATCTATAAAGTTAGAAAATATTTTTTTTCTGAGCTCTAAAGCGATATTTTCACTACATTTTCAGCGCAAAAGCGTGAAGGAGCACTCTCATTAAATGCGGCTGAAGCACCTCCTATCACGGTCAAGGAATTATAGAATACTTTCCCGCAAAAATTAGATTCCTAAACCCTGTTGCTGATCGGAAGTGCAACAACCGCATTCGGCGTGAATCCTTCTATTGATTCACATGAGGCCCAACTGCTATTTATTTATTCACGTACATATGCGAGCTTGCGTATTGCATGACGAATGAAGTCTTTGTCAAGAACAGCAAAAACAAATTAGAGAAGAAAAATGCAAATATACGATGGAGTTCGAACTTTCTGCCTTTTCACTTCAGAGTGTTTGGAAGAAGAAAGAAACTATTTTCCCGGGAAAACCCCGCACTTATAAAAGTTCAAAGTTAAAAAAGTGTTTCGGGTGAACTTCGAGGTTCCTCGAACTACTAAAACTACTCGGAATAAAACTGCTTTATATTCCGAGTGTATCAAAACTGATCGACTATTCAAAAAATCAAATAAAGTTAAACGGCAGAGAATAGAAATTAACGGTTTACAGCATTCACTTTATTAAACTATCATCCTCAGGGATGTTTCCCAGACAGCCGCCACTAGCCCACTGTGCAGCTCTAGTGCTACTAAAATAAATTACCTACCTACCACTTTATAAAACAAGAAATTATTCTTTCATAATTAGTAACAAATTTTAAGATTAGTTGGCGCTGCTGACAGCATTATCAATGGAAATATTTCTCTCTAAGAATCATCCCGCAGTGGACTGATCATTAAGACACTTTTCCCAGCAGATCACCGAAGTCAAGCATCAATCTGCGAAGGGACCGAGGGTAGGAGGTATGGGTCCTCGTTAAACTGTTCTACCGTAAAGTGCTCGATTTCGCGTGCAGGTCGTCTGGCTACCGAAGCAGGGATGCTTTCGTGGAGGAATTCCGCGTTACAGGGAGGGAAAACCACGAAACCCTCGCATGGTCAGCCTGGCGGCAAAAGTACTGTAACTCATGATCCGTCTTCCCCTGAGGATATTTTATGTCAGTACTGTGGTCGGTACAAACCGGATGCAGAATTTGTATCGGCCAGCCATTACTGGGATTCGAACCAGGTTCACCTAATTAGAAGACTAACGCTCTATTCCCTGAGCCATCAATTCTCAAGAAGACGAGATTTTAAATAAAATCGAAGCCAATTTGATAGCAGGGTAAAATTTGAGACTGATTCTGATATTTAGAGTTCAAGCTTTTCTTGAGAAAAAAGGCCGAAATTTACGAAATATTTCCGAGAAATTTTGAAAATCTTGCACACATTTACATGGATTGAAAGACTTAGACATAGTACAAATAATGATATATAAAAGAGCTGGAGAAAATATATTTAAAAATTTCCTGCTATATTTTTTTTTACTTTTTATTTCTTTAAATAATTTTTTTTTTATTTAAATGAGCTGAATTGTTAAATTATTCTCATTAAAGTATGTCGTTTATCAAATATTTTTTTTTGTGGAAATTTTCCCATGTTTTTCAATACGAAATATCTAGAAATTTTATAGCCTAACGCAATGTGCATCCATAAGTTATGCCACCTCATTCCAGTAAATTTTCTGGTTAAGGAGAGGGCTAGCTAAACTTTTTCTTTCTTTTTTATTCTTATTGTACTACATACAATACGCAAAATAGAAAACTAACCTCCTTGAATAACTTTTGAACTAATCATCGGATCGTCACGTTCTAGGGCTTAATATTAATGGTGCAAAGGGGTGCCCACAAATATGCTAATTAGTTAGTGAAAACGGTATTTTAAAATATGAAATCGGGCACAAAAACGTACTTTTTCTGAATAAACATACCTTTTTTTGATGCATTCGGACTTCTGACATCCAAAATATAGGAGGCAGCCTCAATCTGGAAAGTATGGTCCCAATAGTTTGGATACGAGAGCTATGACTTCTTAACGTTAATTTTATTTTTTGGGTATTTCCCCTTATCTCGAGAAATTTAAAGGCGAATTGAAAAGTTGTTGCACATAATTGTAGAATTCGTTTTTATGTAGATAATACCTTGAAAAAACTAACTTTCAGTAAATAATGTTTTTTATTATTTTATTTAATAATAATCGATACAATTTGAATTGCAAAGTAAGCAATTCATTCATTTTAAAAGAATGTAATGAAAATTCAAAATTTGATCGAAATCGAACGAACAGTTCTTGAGAAATGGAATTCTATATACGATTTTTCTAAAGTTCTATTTGTACTATATATGATAGATTCTAATATATATTTGCTTCTATATACGATCGAAATTTTGCATTTTGCCCTGAAAAATTAAATTCTTTAAAATGATGTCAAAAGTTCTCTGTCAAAATAAAAGTATGTTTATTTAGACTAAGTACGCTCTTGTGTCTGATTTCGTAACTTTAAGTATCGTCTGTTTTAATTATCTAGCAAGTTTGTAGTTACCCCTTTGAACCACTGAGATTGAGTCCTAGAATGTGAAGATATGATACTTAGATCAAAGGTTATTCAGGGTGGTTTGTTTATTTTTTTTCGTGCACTGTACTTCAGGGAGACATGTATCTTTATTAATTTATCACTTTAGGGGATAGAAAGACAAATATACATGGATTATCTCTGGTCTGTTTTCTTGTCATTTTGTGTTCAATTTTGAAGCTGTTAAAATGTTCTCAATTTTGATTGCTGCTAAAATTTAAATGAACAATTAAAAAAAACAAAAGTTATAAAAAAACTCACATTTTAAACAAATTTCGAGTAAATCACAGCATTTCGTAAAATTCGCTGATTTGAGAAGAAAAAAACATCAACCATTCGCGGAATGATTGTTTTATAATTCCCAATTATTAATCCTTCTAATTTCCTTCGGCAATCAAGCAGGTTCAAATGTTTTTAATCTTGAATTCCTTATTAGCTCTTCGGCAAATTTTGATGAATTTTTCTTTGAATATTAATTGGCATCCCTACAAATGTGCATGTAATTTGACTTCGCTTTTGATGCTAATTGTGAAAATGTATATTAAGGGTGGTGATTACGGAACAGCCATTTCATGTTACTTTGAAAGAACATAGTTAGTGTGCAAAGTCTTTCAGGGAAAGCCCAAAATATTTGCTAAATATTTTTTTTTTTCTCTTTTAGCAGAAAATATTAACATTCATCACTGGCTGATGGTTAATGTTAAATAAAAATGTCTTCATCAGTCATTATTTCTCACTTACAACTATGTTTTGTTGTTGAATGGCAATATTTACTAGTGTAAATGAAAAATAACGCTAAATAATTTTTCTTTATATTGTGTTCACTATCAAGGTAAGCTGAATGTCAACATTTGCCTGTCGATAATTGGAAACAATTGCATTCATATGAAGAAAAATGTTCTTTTTCAATCAACAACAATGCATGCAGATGTCACCACTTTCCATTGTAATGTGAAAAATAAAGCTATTTATGAAAAGTTTTTTTTTATTCATTATTCGCTACTTTTTTTTGATTAATGTCGACATTTGTCGATGTAAGAGAGAAATAGGATATTTAACAAGCATTTCGACCAAACACCAAAACAAACTTCTTGAACAATGTCGACATTTGCCTGATTTGTCCAATGTTCAACTCCGTAGTCTTGTCATTTTTGAACTCTATCCAGAAGACAAGGGAACTCTTGGATCAAGTATTGGGAAATTATGTCTTGGTGGAGGACTTTTTACTGGAACTAACCTGCATTTGCATTACATTGAGAGGAAAATCACACAAAACCTCCCATGGTTAGCCCAACGTTAAGGAGACTCTAATCCATGATCAGTCTACTACTGAGGATATTTAACGTCAGCACTAAGGTCGGTGACAGCTGAGTGCAGAATTCGTATCTGCCAGCTATTGCTGGGATTTGAAACCGGATCACCTAGTTGGACCTCTATCCCCTGAGACAGTGTTCCCCAAACTTATGACTTTTGTGTACCCGTTCTAAATTTTTCGTAACTCTGTGTACCACTAATAAAGAAATGAATGTATTTTTTACTATAAAAAAATTGCACAAAAGTTAAAAAACACAACTGGCTGTTGACACCACTAACTATTAACTGTTAACTCTGCAAAAAATAGCCAATAGAAAAATACATAACCGTAAATTTTCATGGCTAGCTTTGATTTTAAATAATTTTTTTTGAAATTTTCGTTTGTTGCAAGATATTTCGCCTAAGAAGGCGTACCCTCGCTAAACTGTTCCCGTACCCTTGGGGGGTACGCGTACCACATTTTGGGAAACCCTGCCCTAAGCCATCACGGCTGTTGTCTTTCATAGTATGTAATACAACTTTTATACAACTAACTACAACTTTTATACAACTAACTACAACTTTTATACAACCAACTACAACTTTTACAATGCAACTTTTATTAATCGGAGAGCCTGTTTATGTCAATCTTGTTACTTATAATTACTACACAGCATATTATAATATTTTTTATTATGTTACTTTTTTATTTATTATTTTATTTATTATTTTATTGCATATTTTCAGAGATTGAAATGGGAAAAGTGCATTTTTTCCTTATTTCAATGCTTTTTTTCGTGTTGATAAAACTAAAAAGTGCTTTTAGTTTATTTAGTTAAGATCCGCAAAGAGTGTAGAACATGATAAGTTCTTAAACTCAAAATCAAGTTACTGGAAGATCCAGTCGAGAACTTTTCATTAACCTGATAAGATCCTTTTAATTTCTAATTCATTAAAGGACTAAATCATGCATCAAATATCAGTTAAGTTAAAATTCGATCTATATATCTATGAAGTTATTTGATCATGTTACTTCATTATTTATAATTTAATTGCATTTATATTTCTTTTTTTCCCCTTGAGATTTAGAATTTAAAAAAAAATTATTATTTTTTTTTTGTTGTTGATAAAAACTGAAATGTGTTTTGAGGTTCGTAAATTAAGGTCTGTAGAGTTAAGAAAGTTTTCTTTAAAATCAATCTCAATATTCAGCAAAATGAAATGTCGCTTGGAGATTTCCTTTATTAACCTTATGATCTTTATAGCAAGTTAAAGTTACGTTATTCAATTACTACAAACTTACAACATTATTTTTATTATGTTGTATTATTATTTATTCATTTATTACGTATTATTTTATTACATATTTATTTTATAGCACATTTTTTCCGGAGACTGGAATTAGGAAGACATTTTTTTTCATTATTATTATTTCAAGGGTATTTGAATATATGGGTCACGTTTCTTTATTTTTTTTACCCAGCTGTAAGCTTTTAGAGAAGAGATGTGAAGGGGAGAAAAAAAGAATGTCTTTTTACCTACACCCCACACGGATGCCAAACTTGACCTTGAAATCAATTTCCTGATTTAAACATTTTTCCGGTTTCAGCCTCAAACAGATGTTTTTTGTTGACAGAAGTTTCAAAATTGTCACTGTTAAATAAAGGACGCTGCGCAACAAACCTATGATTTGAGATTCAAGGTTTTCTCAATGTTGTTATTCTATATAATATTGACGGAAGTAGAAGTTATCTTTAAAATTAGTAGAATAATAATGCTGCTCGATAACATACTGAGACAAAAGAGTAATTATCAAGGCAAGCGAAAGTCGAAGTTAATTATAAGAATAAAGCTGTAAATTTCATTATTTAAGAAAAATAAGTTAAATATTAATTAAAGCAAGTTCGCATTTGCATTATATGGAGAGGAAAAACACGAAGACCTCCCACGGCTAGCCAGATGGCACAGGAACTCTAACCCGTGATCCGTCTACCACTGAGGATATTTTTGGTCAGCACTGTGGGAGAGCCGGTTTTGGAATTCGTATCGACCAGCCATCGCTGAGACACGAACCCGGTTACCTCATTGGAAGGCGAGCAATCTATCCCTGAGCCACCACGCCCCTGAAAGAAATATATGAAAAACGTATGCCTAAGAAATATTCCAATGAACTCGTAACTCATTTTGAAATATTTTAAACAATTTAGTAACAACAGGCACTTTGTTTCTTTGTTTTAAATTTTTGTAACAATATATCTTATTCAATTGTTGAAAAATATTTCAGTACTCATGTAATTTTAATTGAGATAATGATTAATAGTAACACTACATCTTTTTTGATTAACGATATTTTTTTTTGTTATTAATTTTGCCCAAAGTTATGTTAGGTTGATCTTAATCGACGATAATATATCTCAAAGTAACCTTAAAGTTCAAATATGGAAGCTAAATTTTTATTCTTTTTCTTGGCAATATTAGCTGAAATAGCTACCGACGTATCGAAAACTAAAAATTCTGACTGCTTGTGGAGATACTTATCTAAAAGTAAGAGATTTCCATACAGACAAACATTTTGTTATTCAGTTGTATCATTGATATTAAAAACTCTATTTAATTCACTTTTTAATTTATCGTTAAAAAAAACTCCGTTTAATTTGTTTATTAGCCTAGTTCTGCTAAACTAATTTATTTTTAGACAATTCTCTTCAAAGATGAGATATATTGAGTTAGATGATTTTAAAAATATAGTTAATTTAAAGTAATAATTAAGATTTTTCCGGCGCTTTTTAACGTAGAAAGTCACTCTGAACATCCTATTTCAAAATTTTGCAAACTCAATATAAAATCGTAGTAAAACTTAAATTTTAAATTATATGTATTCTATTTCTGAAAAATATTTTTTTTGGAAGACAAATAATTCAATTGTATCTGTAATGATAAAAGAAAGAGCTTCCGTGCCTGTGTGTGTGTCACTTTCACAGCTTGTGCTAACGTTTTGAAATTTGGTTCAAAAGTTAATTTTAGTCCCAGGTCCTAAAAATCGTTCGAAAATTTCACTTAATCTGCTCGCTTGAAAAATGAATTTCTTCTCATTGGATAGGCATTTTAGTGACAAAAAATTATTTTTCAAATATTTAAAAGATAATATTAGCGATGTTTGATATTTAATTAAAAGAGTCCCTTTGATGTCAGGCTAACCGTGGGAGGTTCTCGACGTCTTCCTGTCCATGTAACGCAAATGCGGGTTAGTTCCATAAGCAAGTCCTCCACTAAGGCAGAATTTTTCCCAATATTTGATCCAGGAATTCCCTTGTCTTCTGGATTGGGTTCAAATTTGCAAGGCTATGGAGTTGAGCATTATTAGTCGTGAACCCAAAAATTGGGTTGGCTGTTCAACGAGGGTTATAAATAAAATAATTTAGGTGGACGGCATGAAAAGTCTATGTTACCGAATTAGTATTTTTAAAGATATCGGAAATGAAGCGTTTATTTTGTTTATAGTACGTTTTTAAAACGTATTTCTAAAAATAAAAAAAAATAATTTAAAATCAACGATAATTGAAATTAAAAAAGTAAGTTATGCATTTATGACATAATGAGAAATGGTTCATATTCTATCAGGAGTAATTCTATTTTTAAAAGTAAGTTATGCATTTATGACATAATGAGAAATGGTTCATATTCTTTCAGGTGTAATTCTATTTTTAAAAATAAGTTATGCATTAATGACATAATGAGAAATGGGTCATATTCTTTCAGGTGTAATTCTATTTTTGATATCAGTGGTGTTTAATTCGACTTGGTAATAGCTACTACATGCATGGTATTTGGTGCTATTTAAATAAGTACAAAATATACCAATATGGGTGCCAAGGTAGCTACTATAGGTATTGTGGTAATATGTTTTTTAAACCCCCCGAAAGGGATTAGTTTCGGAGGAAATTGCTATAGTATGGTGAATATTAACTATCATGAGTTCGTCTAGGATAAGAACATCATATCAAGCGATACTGAATACAATTAATCATTATTCTGGGGTGAACTTCTAAAAACGTGTTTTGCTTAATCTAATAACGTAAAACTATCGGGAAGACCAGGTAATAATAATAATAATTAAAAATATCAACTATTTCAGCTTTATTAATTGGGTCGGTATATTGTCCTTCAGTTTTGTGCTTGATTTCGTATTGTTGCCGATTGATCAACACTACGAAATCAAGCGCAAAACTGAAATACTATTTACCGACCCAATTAATAAAACTGAAATAATTATTTTTAATTATTTATATTTATTGATTATTTACATTTTATTACTCCGTAAAAATTCAACTAGCATTGAGAAATATTAAACTTTTTTAAAATTATCACATGTTTAGTGAAAAGACCTTTTTGGTTACAATGAGAAATAAGGGTTGTTCAGTAAATAAAATAACTATTTGTTAAATAAATTTTTGATTGCCTTAAAGTTTTTTTCGAATTTCACTTCAAATTAAATATTTAAAAATGATTTCCAACACACTAACGTACTTTTCTAAAAAATGGTGTTACTTTTTTCCTTTTTTTTTGTAAAAATATTTTTAAATAAGTCGTAAGAGATTGTGTGAAACAGTGAAGTTAATTGTAACAGACTAATATACTTTTCACATAGCTATCATGTAGTTTTGATGAATATCTTGAAGACAACAAGCTTTTTCAATTTGTCGAGAAATGCATGCTTTCCAAAATTTCATCACGACTTACGAAAAGTTACATAAATTAGCTGATGTATTTTGTAAATGCTAGTCTAAAAGAAAAATAAACTTGGCTGAAAGCAAATTTTTAAATGCAAAACTCCATTTTGTGTGCATATATTGTGTGCCTATTTTGTTTGGCAACAGCATATTTCAGGTAAAAATTTTATCCTTTAGTGACCTGTACATTTATACTTATTTTAAAATCAATGCAAAATAATTTTTAATTCTAATTTAAAAAATCCTAATAAATTAAGTTTTCTTTTCCTTTTTGAAAGCATACCTCTGACAGACAGTTCTTCAAAGGACTTTAGTTTTTAGGAATAACGCTTTTTAGCCAACAATATGCTGTTTTTATTACTAATCAGAGTTCTTAACTGTTACATTTATTTTTGTAATTTTTGTTAACTTTGTTTTTAACTGTTAAGTTAATTTTGTTAAAGGTGCTCGAATTGTGTTTTTTTTTTTTAAATTTTCCTTCGTTACAGAAAAAGACCCTTAAAAATTTGTAGCGAATTTAGCTTTATTTTTATTATTATTTAGGGATGAAATTGGAAGTAGAAAACTTAAGACTTCACCTTGAAAACGAAGAGAAACTTCAAAACGAAACCAAGCTAAAACTTCAAAATGAATCCAAAGTAAAGCTGCAAAACGAAACTAAAGTAAAACTTCAAAATGAAACCAAAGTAAAACTTCAGAAGGAAGATAAGTCAAAACTTCAATATGAAGATAAAACAATATTTCAAGATAAACAGGTGAGTCTACAAGCCTAAGCTGACCAGCGTCCTTACAATACTAAAAAACTGGTAACTAAATTTCTAAACGAATATTCGAAAACTCACTGATCTACCTTACCACACTGTCAAGACTTCCGGATTAAATTACGATATAAAATACCAACACTTAGGGTTCATCAGCCGTAAAATCTATTTTACCGTAAAATCCATTTTCACAGTAAAATATTTTACCGTGAATTTTTTACAGTGATATGTATTTTATTAGAGTGATTCAGTGGCTTTAACAGAATTATAACTGTAAAATATATAGTATATTAAATATTTTTCGTTGCTTCAATGCGTTCGGTAAAAATGGATTTTATGGTAAAAATAGTGCCGATAATTTTTCCGTGATTTGATTCGTAATTTTTTACAGCGCAATTTATTACTTTGCGACCAGATATCTCTCGTAGAAATTTTCTAACAGACATATTTTTTTTTCCAAATATTAATACTGTTAGAGAATTTCTGTAAGGGATATCTCTTCGCAAAAATTTTAAGTTGGAAAGTGAAAACAGTGAGTTTTCGAATGTTCTTTTAGAAATTTTGCTATTAGTTTTTAGAATTTCCGAAGACACTGGTCAGAATACACAAACTCGAAAAAAGTAAGCTGATAGTATTTGATTTCTTTGTAATTTTCTTTTCATTTGACTGAATGTCAAATGAGTCTGATGAACGAATTTAACAAATGTTGGTTTAAAGCAAATCTGACTTAAGCATCTTTATAGGCATATTCTCTTGCGTTTTCCGAGGACTTTTTTCTTAATAGAAGGTAGCTATATCAAATTACAATTGATTTCTCAAATATTAGCATTGTCCACCTACTCACTAATTTTGGCAAAGCTGACTTTATGTTTTTGGATGCAATGTTTCATACGAGAAGGCGTAAAGTTTTAAAACAAACTAAATCCACTATTTTCAAATTCTCAACTAAGTTTTTTCAGTTTTATTCAAGTTCTGAGCGTATTCTTTAACTCTAATTAAGAATTTCAAACCAACTTTTTTCTTCCTGTTTTCTTATATTTCAAACTTATTAAATTCTTTTTTTAGTTGAGCTTTTAAATTTTTGCTAGCTCGAGTGAGACGAAGTTCAATTTAAAGGTTGTTGTTAAAAATATAAAAGCAAAAGCTAAGTTAAATTTGTAAGCTAAATTTTTTAAATTTCGTGACATATTTTTTATAGAGATATTAAACGTAAAACTTTCTTCTGCAAGGAATAAATTTTTAATTTTGAAAAAATAAATATATTTCAGAGCGAGAGATTTCATAAAAAGTGCATTTATCAAAACTGTTTCTCTGCTTCGAATTATATTTATTGCATGCCCAAATTTAAAGACATTTTTTAAAAAAAATATATGTGTGCAAATTAAAATATTTTAAGTCAGTAAAGAAAAGCTTTAGTAACTTTTTGCCTTTATTTAAATATGTCTACTTAATTCCACAGTCAGAATCAACCTACATCATACTTCAGTATATTTTGGATGAGTTGAAAAACACGAAAGAGTGGTTAAATGCACAACATATGTATGATTGGATTGAACCGATCCACAGCATATTTCTGTATATTTTGGATGAGATGAAAAGCACCAAAGAGTGGTTTAATGCTCAACAAATTTCTGATTGGTCCAGAAGCATCGAATTATGGTTAAAAGATTCCTGCTTTTATGATTCTTTAAACGGTTTTTGCATTTTGGGATTGCTATTGTTTGTTATTTGGTTTGCTGCATTTATTTTTTGGGTAAGTGAATTTTTTTGTAGAATTCTATTTAGTGTTGAGATATTACTAAAAATTTGTATTTTTGAAATTTTATTTTGATTTCTGACCCTGACAATATGGCATGCAGACGCAATCGCGGAAAATCACGTCTATCTTCCCATAAGAGATAAACTTATAGCAGAATATTAAGAATAAATTCGTTTCTATCTTGGACAAATTTTGATGATAAATTACCACAGTTTTAGCATATCACAATTGATTTGATGCTTCTACACATGAAATATAGATGTCAGAAGAATACTGTCATGCATTTTAAGCAGCACTTACAGTCGATCGGTCAAAAAGTTTAAGTCGTTTTTATTCTTACCGACTTAATTGTATTCAGAGCTTTTGTTAGTTTTTCTACTAATTTAGTTGAACCATTCTAGGAACATAAGGAATTCGTGATCACCTTACATTAATATTAAATTATATTGAGATATTTTCACTACGTTTATGAACTCTAGTGAACGATGTTATTGATGATAAGATGAAGTTTAGGCTTCACGTCTATATCTATCTATCTCTCTCTCTCTCTATATATATATGTATATATGAATGCGTGTGAATATCTAGAAAACAAACCGCCATATCTTTGCGTTATTTGTAAAAATATCTTGCAAGTATTTCATCAACATTACTTATTTTGAAATTTAATAAACTTTAAATAAAATAAGGTAGACTTTTAAAAAAAAATCTCTTTTTTGTTCTGTAGCTATTTTATTAAATGTAGTTAATTTTGACAGTTAAAAAATAGGTTGGTAAAATAATTGAACATAAACATGGCTGTCCTCCAAATTTTAAATGCTTAATCTCTTATTAAAATTAATTATGCTATTATTGTAATATTATTATTCTTTATCATCTTATTATTTTTATTGCAATTATAATATTTTTTTTATATGATTTATTTTCTGCAGAAATTCAAACGGGGAAATGCTAGTTATGATAGCTGGAATGAAAGTCAAGAGGAATTGTTGTCTTCGTCATCAGTAATTATTTTCTATTTTTAAATTTAATTATTTATTTGTTAAGGAAAATCTTATTTTTAAAACATTTCTCTTCGTGTTTTCATGGGAGCTTTTGTCAGTTGCAATTCACTCAATTTCCCACTTTTTTTAAAACTATATTGGAAGAAATACAAATAAAATTTCATTAAATCAGAATCAATAAATGTAATCTTGTTGCTGTTGTTTCTAATCTCCAAGAGGTCCATCCTAATTAGACCAATTCCATAAGTCCAAAAATGTCCAGAAAGTCTAAAAACAGATGAGGTTTAAATGTAATCTTAATCATGACTTACAAGATCACTTGATTAATTGTAATAAGTATTGCATTATGATTTCGAATAATCTTCAATGATCATGGTTGCTTGTAATCACGACTAAATTAAAAAAAAGAAAGAAAGAAAAACGTATAATTTTGAACTTTTAACAGATAATCTAGCAAATGTTTGAATGTTCAAAAACTCTGTCGAATACTTTTCAAATTATCTGTTAAACATTTCATACAATCTATTAAATGCTTCCAGCTATCTAAAAAAATTTTCCAACAGCCTCAGAGAAAAGTATGAAACTAATTTCTTGTTTATAGTTTTTTGACTGTAAAAGGAAAAAAAAAGTAACAAAATATATAAATAAATAAATTAATTAATTAATAAATAAGGCAAGTTGAATAAAAATTTGAATTTAGAGCAGGTTATACTGGAATAAAAAGATAAAAGTGCAAAAACTGAACTATTCTTAAACTAGATTATATTAAGACTATGGCATAGCATTAAAAATTGTTCAAACATGGTTTTCATTTCAAACTTTGAAAATTAAAGTACGTAATTTCAAAGAATATTCTTAAAAGTACTGAGATTAGCAATAACTTATTTTAGAAACACCTTTTTTCATTTTTCTCTTTCGTATTCCTGTCACACAGCATTGACTCTAATGCTATACTGAACTTTCCTGATTGCTACAAACAGAATTCACCGCCAATTTGTCCCCACAAAGCATTTAACTCATATCAAATTTTGAGGATTTTCTGAAGAGCTAGAGTGCTTAAATTTCAACTGAAGCTTTTCCCTCGGTGAAACGAATGTTTCAATCGTATTTTCAAAGCTGTAAATATATTATACTGTCATTATTATGATATAAATTGTTTCTTCAGAGAAAATTTCGACAGTTGTCTGATTAGCTTGAGTGCTCGAATTTCTACAATGCAAGTTTTAATTGCCTCCTTTTCGCTGCAAGCATGTATTCTCCAAATATACACCTAAGAGCCATTGCATTATGACTACCCTGCTAATAACATGTAGGACCACCTTTAGCCCTCAAAACTGCTAGCACCCGCCGTGGCATTGATTCCACAAGGTGATGATAGGTAGTATGAGGTATCTAGCACCAAGCGCTCACCAACTGGTCCTGCAATTCCCTCACATTGCGAGGGGATAGCGTGGCAGCACGAATTCGGTTTTCTAAGTAGGACCACAAATGCTCTATTGGATTAAAGTCAGGTGAATTTGGGGGCCAAGACATGACTTGAAAGTCACTGGAATGTTCCTCGAACCAATCCATGACGATTCGACCCTTATGACATGGCACATTATCCTGTTGGTAAACACCTTCCCCAGCAGGAAAAACTGTTGCCATGAATGGTTTAACCTGGTCTGCAACTATGTTCAAGTAGCTTACAGACGTCAGGGATTGTTCTATGAGAATTATGGGTCCTAATGAGCCCCATGAAAATATTGTTCCTGGGGGAGAAACCATGAAAACCTGGGCTAGCCCACTGTTATAGATGGAGGGTGGTCATAATGTAATGGGTCTTCGGTGTAATTTGCTGCATTCGAATAGAATATTCGAGCATGAGTGTTCATTGGAGCATTATGGCAAATAATAATGGGAATTTATCTTTTCCTGATCCTTACAGACACAGTTCACTGCCCGTTAACAGTCGAATAGAATTTATTGCCTACTGATCTATTTCCGGTAAAGTAAATCCGATAAAGAATTTAAGAAAATCAAAACTAATAAAGTAGAAAAAGTTTTTCAAATGGACTAAAAAGAAGAACATGTTATTCTTTTCGCCTCTGAAGTAAAAATTATAGAGTGCATCACTTTTGCATGATACTTTGTTTACCAATTTTACAAATTTATTCGCTATAGCGGGAGCTGAAGTAAAAGTGTTCTCTCTTTCTCGATCCATTTGAAAAACTTTTTACACCAATGCAACAGCCAAAAGGTAAGTTGATCCGTACTTTTTTACAAGACGAAACTCTTTATAAATTCTTATATGATGTTAAGTAAAAATTGATTTCACTCAAATGAAAAAATAATTTATCTTCTTTTAGATCGATTATCCAATATCTCAAGTTTTTAACAAACTTAAAGAGGTAAGTTTTTATTTTTATTTTAATAATATCTAAAATATTCTTTTATATAATACTATTTCGTATTGTTTTTTATAAAGTCACACGAAAATATTATTTTCTGTTGGAATATTTTATTTATGAAATGCATATTTATTAAATTATTTTGAATGAAATCGGATAAATATCATGAAATAAAAGCTGGTACTTCAATTATTTAGAATTGCTCGTATTTTATTTTGAATCATTCAAACTATTTAGTACAAATTTATTTTAGGCAAGTTTGGGTTTGATATTTTGATTCGTTATATGAAAACTTTTATTCCAGAAATAACTATTAATTTATACTGAACTAGTATTTTTTATGCTATAAAAATTTGTACAAAGTTGAAGCACATGTTCCAAATATGAGTGGTTGGAGGTGAGTCATCAAAGCTACTTGGAAATTTAAAAATTAAACCAATTTTTTTAAACTTAAATATTTTTCTTGTTAGTAGAATGCTTATTTCGTATTAAATCAGTAAAACATGGATTTATATTATAAACCTTATTAATAAATAAATGGTGTAAATGATAAAGTTCATCGGCCGATATCTTACCAACCTATCATATAGTTCTTGATTTATGGCAACTGGTTTATTAATTTTATTATTTTTTTAGTTTATCATTACTATTATCGTTTAGTTTATGATTAATTTCTCAATTCTAATAATATTTAAAATTCTATTATTTATTTAATTATTCTTTTATTATTTACTTTTCTAATACTTTCATGATTTTATCAATCAGATTATTATAATTTGCTTTATCAAACTTATTATTATTTAGCTTAGTAATCATAATAATATTTATTTCATCAATTCATCATTATTTAGTTTATTAATCTTATCATTTTTTAATTATTGTTCTTAGTATTTAGTTTATCAATGCCTATTATCATTTCTTTATTTCTACTTTTATTTAGTTTATTAGTTCTCTAATTATTCAGTTTTTTAATCCAATTTTTATTTCGATTCTCATTATTATTTCATTTATCAATCCCTTTTATTATTAAGTTTATTAATCTTACATTTAAGCAGTTTATTATTCTTATTTTTACAGATAATACTCCTATATTAGTCCCTTAGTTTTTTTTTAAGAAAATGGTCCTTTCCATTTGTTTACTTAATTTTCTTTTCGTTTCGAAAACTCTTCCAATTTTGTTGTATTTTACGCAATAATGAATCTTTAAAAAATAATGCTATTTTTAAAATTGATTAATGAAACGGGTACTTCTAATAATATTTATCAATATTAGGTTGAAGTTTGTGTGCCCATAAATTATTATTTTGTTAATCCCATATTAATGATTTTATTTAGTTTATTAGTCCCTCGGTTTTATTTAATAAGTGGCTTTATCCATTTCTTTATTAAATATTTTTCTTCTTCTTGAAAATTCCAATTCTGTTGTATTTTACGCAACAATCAATCTTTAACAATCAATGTTATTTTTAAAATTGATTCAAGAGACGTTTACTTTTAATAACTTTTATTAATATTAAGCCGAAGTTAAAGAAGTTTAAGTACTCCTGAATTAGCATTGTACAGTGAAGAACTCACAAATGAATAATTCTTTTCAGGAATATTCTTAAAAATAAAGATTTCTTCCAAAATTTTGATAATTACTTTTGAAACGAAAAGGGTCTATTCATATATTACCTAAGCATGTTTTAAAGAATTGTTATTCTCTGTTTTCCCCTTGTCAGCAAAAACCCAACAAATGATCTCACTAATGTGTCTAACAAATGAAATTCCGTAAGATTTTTGAAATATAATTTTCGGAAATGAATATAACGGAAAGTAATGTGTACTATTCAGTGCTTAAAAAATAAGCATTATACTTGACTTGATATTTATTACGTTATGAGGGAATTGTGCACGATATTGCTCTCTTACAAGGGAACACTGTGCTTAAACGGTGCTGTTGTTGTTGTTTCTAATGGCACTTGCCACACGGGCTAGCCTGCTTGGTGAAACCGAGCAAATTTAAGGCAGAGTGTGCGTTTCTTGTTTGTCAGTGGCGCCATCTATGGCCAAGAATTCGACTTCTGCTACACCATACGTCGCACCCGTTCATAGGGCGGACCCATTCATACATCCATTCATTCATCCACAGATCGTAGTTTTGACCTGAATCAGAGAGCGATCGATCTCCATTCCAGTACCCCCAGAGGTATTGATTTGTTATGGGAACATGGTGGACTTTTGCGACTCGACAGATTTAACGCGCATCAGTCACGGGGTTCGAACCCACGAGCTCTCGGACATGGGCTCAGCGCCCTTCCGACGAGGCTATCCCGGCCCTTTAAACAGTGTAAAACGGAAATTCTTTTTTGAATGCTCCATTGCTTAGAAACCATGGGGAAAATACGGTATTGAAGGGGGAAATAAAATAATTTTGTCAACATCTAAATAGTTGCCTAACAACGAAAAGAGAAATTTGATAAAAATTTCCCTTGAATACTGTAGAGTGTTCTGTCAAGTTTTACAACTCACAAAATGGGATAGTTCTTTAAAAGGTTATTCTTCAAACTAAAGATTGCTTCTAAAACTTTTGATAATTCTCTTTAAACCTAAAAGATCTATTATCTCAGCCAGTTTGAAAGAATTGTTGATCTCCATCCTCTCCTTGGCATCAAAAACGCGCCAACGATCTCACAAAGTAACGTAAGATTTTTGAAAAAATAATTTTCCGTAATGAATATAAAGGAAAGTATTGTATTACTCAAAGTTTGAAAAATAAGTATTTTGACTCGATATTTTTTCTGTCATGAGGAAATTATTCAATATATAATTTCTCTCAAATCTATAAGTCTCCCTGACACGGAAACACTCAACTGTGTAAAAAAGAAATTTTTTTAGAATACTCCGTTGATTTGATACCGTGGGAGAAAATACATTATTGAAGAGGGAAATTAAACAATTGTATCAATCTCCAATTATTTGCCTAATTGGATCAATATCCAATTAGTTTCCAATTACAACCGAGAGAGGAATTTGAAAAAGTTTTAGCTGATCACTGCATACACTGGGAAAAATTCCGGATTAAATTCGGGTATAAAGTACCAGCTTTTTGAGTGCATCATCTGCAAAATCTATTTTACCATAAAATCTATTTTACCATAAAATCCATTTTACCGTAAAATCCATTTTTACTCTAAAATATTGTACCATAGTTGTTACTGTGATATATATTTAGTTAGAGAAATTCCTTAATTTTGCGGTAATTATTACTGAAAAAATCACGGTGTAACAGATTGTTTGCTCTATTACATGGATTTTACGGCAAAATGTGCAGGTACTCTGAGTTCCTGTACTTTTTACAGAGATTCGATCCAAAATTTTTACAGTGTATTTCTCAGAATAGAAGGATATCATTCTTAGTGTTATGAAAAAGATGCCAAGATATTTTTCAAGTATATTTTTAGTAGTAATATAAATATCAATTGCTCTAAACTGATTTTTTTTTATCGTCTTAAATTGATTCATTGCAAATAGTGTGGTGCGGTATAGAATGAAAGAGGAATGAAGTAATTTTAATCTAAATTTTTTTTTAATTCTCGTATCTGTCAAGTATATTGAGAGCAAAAAAAAATTCTTGAGGGTAAAATTATGAAAATAATATGCTATAGATAACATAATTAAAAATTTTGAAGATTTATAAAGCTTACGTTCCATGAGTAAGTCCTTAAATCTTCTTCCTCTCATGGGGAAAAATTCGTCAAAGCACATCCAGACTTGTCATTCTCAAACAGGATTTTAATAACATCCCTAAAATTTTTTTGTCGTAGAATGAATTTATTCCTAGTAAATGTTTCACTAAAATTTAAATTATTTTCATGCTATTGAATACAGATATTCATTTCAATAAACAGGAGCATAAATCCATAACCTATGTTGTAAAATTGTGCAAACAATGTATAGTTAACTTAAAGGTAAATTAAGGTAGTTAGGAAAAAAAGCTCTGGTTAAATTACCGACTGTATGGTAATGACATTATTTGTAAAAAAACAAAACAAAAAAAACAAAAATTTTGGTCAATTATAATTGACCAAAATTTGGTCAATTTAAAATCAAAATATACGGTGCTTAAACCATTCATTTGGTAACTATTCTGTTCATATGGAAAGGTTTACCGGAAGTTTTGGTTTTCAAAATTACAGTTTTTATTACCATACACTTTGGAAAAAATACAAAACTGAAAATGAAATTTAACTGAATAAAGGGTTTTTATGACATACTCTGAAGTATTATGATAAAAATACCAAGTTTTACCACCATTGACAGATTTTATCACGTATTATTAAACCATATTTATTTTACTAAAATTATTATCAAAGGGCTTGGTAAAAATTACCGAGCTTTTTGTAGTTGCCATAGATTTATAAAAACGGTAAATTTAACCATAATCTAATAGTTTTGACCGAACTATTTTTTTCTGTAAACTTATTTTTTCAACCCTTTTAGAAACATTAGTTTAACCTGTAAATAGTGATAAAAATGTGTAGAATAAAGTATTTTTGTTAATAATTTAATCAATAATTGTTAATAATTTAATTCTTAAGAATATTACCTTTGTATGATAGTAATTTGCTTGTTATAAAATAGAGGAAATTTACAAAAGTAATATATTTTTCTAAGTTCATTCCTACATTTTAAATTTGATTCTTCAAGAATTGATAGCTATCAAAGATATTTTTTTTTTTGGGATAGCACTGCTTAAGACATTTTAATCTTTACACAGATCCATTAACTTATGACCAGTAGATGAAAATATATGTTGTATTTAATGTAAAATAATAGTTTTATGACATTATTTTCAGATTTTAAGTACAGCAGATACAGCTTCAAACGATGATGATAGCATTACAAATCACTTGAATGATGATTTCCTTACTTTAGTAAGAGTTTCACGTTTTTATTTTTAGTTTGTTAGTTTTACTTTTAAGTGGAATTCTATGTCATAAAGATTTGAAATTTTCGTTACCTTTAAAATAATTTTTGTTTGTTTGGAAAAAATTGAGTTTTTTTGCTACATTGATGTAATGATCTCACACTAAATGTATGGAGGGTATAACCTTAAATATGTTAATTAATAAGAGCAGTTTATAAAAAATCATGTTTTTAATTTTGTTTCTCGAAAATATTTCGGTTTATTTTGTCAAATTTGGGTTTTTATTATTTAAAACTACGCATTTTAGAATTAGAAAAAAATTCGTGATCTCATAAAGTCAAACTTTTCCGATGATTATTAAATTAAACAGTAAAATTATAAAATTAATAAATTCCCTTGTTATTATTATCTTTGAATTAGAAAGATGGGGGCCAGCTTTTTTTATGTGTGTAATAAGTGCATTTGGAGTTTAGTGTTTTGACAATTTTTAGAGGTTTTGGTTACTTCTGGAGAATTAAGAAAAAAATCTAAACTTTTTCAAAAGTAGGAACAAGTGGGACAATAAATTTCTTATAAACTGTTATTAACCAATTTAAGGAGCAGAAATCTCCAACATTGATTCAATATGGTGTACCAAATACAATGTAGATATAACAGCCATAGGCATAATATATATAATCAAATAAAAAATTAATATAAAACTTAAGAAATACATTTAAATGTTGAAAATAATTTGTTGCTATTTTTTAGAGGTTTTGATGCTTTCATTCAAAAACTATCATCATTTGCAGGTAGCCAAACGCATAGCTGGAGATGAATCAATGGAGAAAGGCCTATTTAGTGGAGGGCTTTTAACTGCAGAAAACTTAATGCAGGTAACTAAGATTACTGTGGCACATAACAACTGAACTAAAACTGATAAAACGGCAAAACACAGTGCAAAATATTTTTGTGTATCTGAACATCAATAATGGGGACAACTATTTTACACCAAATTATGTATTGAAACATCACTGATAACACTAGGTTCTTGATGTCACAATTCATAAAGAAACAAGGATAGTTCCTGGTGTACTGACACACTAATATAGTTGTTTTTACATTACTTAATGTGTAGTAGCAGCTATTAGATAGATTTTCCCCCCCGATGCCCACTAGAGGAATGACCTTTCGTCAATACAGGCACCTGAAGGGCAGATTTGTTGGCCACTCTTTTAGGGGCACCATATTAGGTAAGCCAACGTTGCTCCCACAGTAAAGACAGATAATACAGAGAATGAAAGAACATCCATGCTTTGCCCGGGATTCGAAGCCAGAACCTTTCTGATACAAAGCCTGTTCCTGACCCCTACACAATCTTGTCGACTTTTCTGTTATACAATAATATTAAAATTTATTATAACATAAATATATGATACACATAAGAGTCAGTAATATTCAAATTTAAAGAATTTCTGCTAGATATCAACACACTACACACAATACATTATCTTTTTACATGGAGTCGTCGTATACGCAGCTTGCTCACATTGAGTAAAATCGTTAACATTTGGTCCTAATTTAGACTTTTTTGGACTACTTTACATTCAAGTACTACTTTAGATTAAGTGCAAATATGTTGGCTACATTGTTAGTTTTCTATCAAGAGAATTATTTTAAGGTCATACACGTATTGATTAAAAATTACTATAAGCATAGTATTAAATGGTTTGAAAAAATTTTAATATTTAAAAAAATATATGTTTTGTATTTATTTACAGTGGAGGCAAATGTATGAGGAAAGTTTGACAGAAAATCTCCAAGGTATTTGAATGTATTTTTTATATTTTAATTATTTGTTATATTTGAATGAATTGCACTATTTTAAATATTTCAGTTAGATTACATAAATTGTTCCATTTCCTAAAAATTAAAATTAAGTATTTCGTCAATTTAGTAAAAAGAAAAATTAGGATATGAGCTTAATAATTTGAGATTTATACAGCTATTTCCTTACTTTCCTAAAACAAATTAAAATATTAGGGGGACTGGAAAGTAATATCTTTTCTGTGCGTTTGATATTTGTTATCAAGATTTGATTTTTAATCAATAATATATTCACCCTAGTTAGCAACAACCTTTCAATGCGGATCGAAAATGAATCTAAATGAATCGAAAAAAAATAATTGGTTTTTAAGACTAATGAATATTTAAGGCACCGAAATGACGTTACTTTCCGGTCCCCTTAATAGTAATAGAATGTCACTCTTTTTCTTCTTCTTAGGCACTAAGGCCGGTTACTGCCAAAGCTGTCTCAGTCAGTTTACCCCACCTAAATCTATTCGATGATATTGATAGAATTGAACCCTAATATGGTTAAATTAGTGCAGTAACATTTACTAGTGCACAAAAAAAACGAGAACTCTTTTATAATTTTTGATATAATAATTGGATATTCACGTACTTGTACTCATATTTGATGATTTTAATTCTAATTTTAATATTCCATATTAAGCCAGACAAACTAAAAGCAAATCTCAACTATTTAAATCATCTGTGCTGTTGTTTCTAATGCGACTTGCCACACTAGCGAGCCTGCTTGGTGAAACCGAACAATTTAAGACAGACAGTACGTTTTTTGTTTTTCACTGGCGCCATCATATCACTGGCCAAGAATCCGACTTCAGTCACACCATACGTCACACCCGTTTATAGGGCGGACTCATTCATACATCCATTCATTCATCCACAGATCGTAATTTTGACCTGAATCAGAGAACGATCGATCTCCAATCCAGTACCCTCAGAGGTATTGATTTGTTATGGGAACATGAAGGACTTTGCAACTCGACAGAATTTAACGTGCATCAGTCAACGGCTAGCGGGGTTCGAACCCATGAACTCTCGGACATGGGCCCAGCGTCCTACCGACCAGGCTATCCCGGCAAAATCATCGGTAGAACAGCAAATTAAAAGTAATTGTGTTAAGCAATTGTAAATAATTAAAAGTGTCTGGACTGAGAATTATCTATCAAAGTTTGATTTGGAGTAACACATGAAGAAATTGAAATATTTTTTATAATTTGAATGATATTCTCTTTTTTAGTATATAATTGTGCCAGACGTCAAGTGACTATCAATATTCATGTCCTTGTCAACGGAAGAAAAGTGTACAGAGAAGAAAATGGTGTCATAAATGAAAACGAAGATTGAAAATTCTGGAATTAATCAAATTTGAACATTTACTGAGCATTTTCCAATCATAAATAATTATATGAACATTTATATGTATACGACAAGAAAAACTTTAGAATTTTTTAAATACCGAATTAATTATAACACGATCAGTCATTTTAATTTCAATTGCTATCAATAAAAATTTATTTTTTCACTAAATATTTTTTAAAGCTGATTGTTTTTTTTTATTTTTCTAAAGTCTAGCTTACACTGTTTTCTGAAAATGTTGAATTTAATATGCATTTATAGAATTCTTGAAAATATTCGGTTGATGTTAAAATAATTTCCCAAATTGAATGTAAGTTGAAAAAAGTGCATCATTTTATGTGAATAATGTTAAATTAATAACAATATTTAAATCTTGAAACGTGAGAAAGATGCTACTCTTACAGAAAAATATATTTGATTTGGTTTAACAGGTTAAATGCAAAATTTATTGCATAAAATTTTTTGTGAACATAAGAATTATTGTAGTTGCTGTTGTAGTTCATTGATGTCGCACTAGAGTTGCACAATCGGCTATAGGTGACTGTCTGGGAGGCATTCCTTTTTATGATCCGAAGACCTGCTATCACAATTTTGATTCTCTGCAGAGAGGATGGCACCCCCGCTTCGGTAGCCCGACGACCTGCATGCGAAGTCGAGCACTTTACGGTAGAACACTTTAACGATGACCAATACCGCACACCCTCGGTCTCTACTCAGTCTGATCCAAGTGGTCTCCCACCCGCACATTGACCGCAGACAGTGATGCTTGACTTCGGTGATCTGCTGTGAACCGTGTCTTAACGATCAGCCCACTGCGGGACTGTAAGATTTTGATTAGTTTAGTCAAGTCTCTCGTCCTGTAGGGTCCCGCGTTTTCCGTTTTCTCGTTCCAGGATCTCTTTGTCTTTCTGTCATCGATAGGAGATTGGGAAAAGAACAAAACAACCAAGCTCAAAAGATAGTTACACTTGAATTAGTCATCTTTTGATTAGTACTCGAACTTATTATCATTAACTCTCATGTTACACGAAAAAAAAAATCATAAGATCAGCAAAATCCTTAACACAAAAAATTACACCGAAGAGCCACCCTGACCACCCTGCTAATAACATGTAGGACCAACTTTTAGCCCTCAAAACTTCTAGCACTCGCCGTGGCATTGATTCCGCAAGGAGCTGATAGGTAGTCTGAGGTATCTGATACCAAGCGCTCACCAACTGGTCCTGCAATTAACTCACATTGCGAGGGGGTAGCATGGCAGTACGAATTTGGTTTTCCAAGTAGGACCACAAATGCTCTATTGGATTAAGGTCAGGTGAATTTGGAGGCCAAGACATGACTTGAAAGTCACTGGAATGAACCAATCCATGACGATTCGATCCTTATGACAAGGTGCATTATCCTGTTGGTAAACACCATTACCCGCAGGAAAAAACTTGCCATGAATGGGTGAACCTGGTTTGCAACTATCTTCAAGTAGCTCACAGACGTCAGGGATTGTTCTATGAGGATTATGGGTTCTAATGTGCCCCATTAAAACATTATTCCTGGGCGAGAAACCATGAAAACCTGGGCGAGCCCATTGTTATAGATGGAGGGTGGTCATAAGGTAATGGCTCTTCGGTGTACATGATTGCATATCCTTCAAATAAATGATATTGTACAAACAAAATAATTATTTAATGACGCTTTTACTAACTAAAAATTTTATAAAATTTTATTACACTTTTCAACAGTTTTTAGTTACAGTTTTATGACATTTTTTAAAATTAATTCTCAGAAATTAATTCTCAAACATTTTCTTTCAATTTTTCTTGAATAAAAATAAATTTTTTTTAATTGTATTTAGACGAGTTGTAAGTTCGTTCAGTTTCAAATGTGAAGCAATGCAAATCATGTGCAATAGAATGTGCCGGTAATTACTTATTACTTAATCTATTATTATTTTATTATTTAAGTAATAATACTTAATTATTTATTTAGTATTATTTATTTTTTATTAAATAATTAAAATAATAATGGCCTGATAAATATTTACTTGCAAAATCCAGATATAAAAAAATAAGTATGCACATATCGAAGTGCTAAGGATTCAATTAGAAAGTCAATTAGAGTAGCTTCATGTAGAACAGGTAGATAAAATTAACTTGTCGATAAATTGCCTCTAATATTATTTTAAATTTATGACAAATTACCATAAAATATCCAGATCTACTGACATGTCTAGAGAAAAATAAAACTGAAAGAGCCAAAGCGTGAGGAATTATTTCCCAAAAAAACATTTACGTTGAGTTAATAAAATAGGTTCCAAGGTGCAAATGAGCAAAATTAAATTAAAAATTGTCGTTTTTATAGTTTAAAATTTTAATCACATTTTCGTTTAAAAAAAAACTCGAAATTTGCATATTGTTTCTTAAAAAATGAAAACTCAAATCTAAATAAATGACATTATTTTAAATGCATGACTTGCAGTTTGTTATGTTAATTTCTAAACAACCCCTTTTAACTTATAAAGTTGAACTCACATTTTCATTAAAATATTCGACCTTCAAAATCAAAAGCGTGTCGTAACATTTAACACAAATGCTAGACATCACAATCGAATATCCATTTTCGCCAGCTGTTCTGTGACATATCTTAGTAACACGATACCTTTTGAAATATCTGTTATTTGTTTTAGTAGTTACAGTTCATTGCGTATTGATGGAATCTAGGGTCAATTTTTGGTTACGACAACTTTTGAAAATCGATGTTTTTGGATTGTTAAAAAAATTCCCGTTATTTCAATACCGAGAATAATGAAAAAAAGAACTTTTAATATAAAAAGTTAAAAGTAAGTTAAAAAAAAGTAAGAAATATCCTATCAACACGAAGAAAAAGTGTTGCTGATTTCAGACTTGCAGCGGATCTGTTTACCCAAACATTTATTCTGGTTTGGCATCCTTAAAAGTCTGAATTGCATTATTTGTGGAGAGTACAATTCTTAGTATTGTGTTGTCAGTATGCCACCTATCAAGAACTGTATTTATGGAAGGTATTTGGGAGGCCAGAATGTGATAAGAATGAATGGACAACTTAATTTTTGTAGCTGAAACCAAGTTTAATACACCATTTTTGTTTCGTTTATTGTTTTATTGTGTTTTGGTGACCTATGACAGTGAATTAATAGATGTATGTCCAAGTACAATTAATTGATTTCTCTATGTATTAAACAATAGCAGGCGACAATTCTCTGAGTTATTTGCATGTACTGCCAGCAAGAATCTATGAATTATCTGTAGACAAAGTCTCGCGAAGATGGATTACATTATGAAAAATAGTCACATTTGTTCATTGATGCAATTAGAAATCAATGAAATATAAAATCAAGGAATGATTGGTTCCATGAGTTATTTTCATGTTCTACCATCACTAATCTATGAACTATCTGCTGGTAAAGACTTTCGAAAATAGATAACAGTATGAAAAATAGCAGTATTTTTTGATTAATTCAATTCAATTATGAATCAATAAGCTATGAATCAATGAATGATTCGATTCTATGAGTTACTTGCTTATACTACTAGTACGAATCTATGAACTATCTGCAGAAAAAAGCTCGCGGAGATAGATTGCCGTATAAAAATAGCCACATTTGGTTATTGATGAAATTAGGAATCAATGAAATATGAATCAATGAATGATTCGATTCTATGAGTTATTTGCATGTACAACCAGCACGAATCTATGAACTATCTGCAGAAAGAAAAAAAAACTCGCGGAGATGGATTGCTGTATAAAAATAGCCACATTTGTTTATTGATGAAATTAGGAATCAATGAAATCTGAATCGCTGAATGATTCGATTCCATGAGTTATTTGCATGTACAACCAGCACGAATTTATGAACTATCTGCCGAAAAAAGCTCGCGGAGATTGATTGCAGCATAAAAATAGCCACATTTGTTCATTGATGAAATTATGAATCAATGAAATCAGAATCGCTGAATGATTCGATTCTATGAGTTATTTGAATGTACTTCCAGCATGAATCTATGAACTATCTGCAGAAAAAAGCTCGCGGAGATGGATTGCAGTATAAAAATAGCCACATTTGTTCATTGATGAAATTAGGAATCAATGAAAACTGAATCGCTGAATGATTCGATTCCATGAGTTATTTGAATATACTATCAGTACGAATCCATGAACTATCTGCAAAGACTAGTAAAGATAGATTACAGTTTGAAAAATAGCCACATTTGTTCATTGATTCAATTATGGTATAAGGATTAAAAATTTGTCAACAACTGTAAAAACCTGATTTGCCTAAACAAGAGAAAATTGCTATGAAATCGAAAGTCATATTGAATATTAATCAAGGGACAAAAGCATTAATGCTCCCAGTAAACTGCTGTTTTCTAAAATACATATTTAGTTTAGATAATGTGCATAATGCTGTATCACTAAGACTATAAAAAAACTAAAATAGCAAATATTTCAATTCTAAACTACTCGATTCAGCGCGGAAATAGGACCTATTGATGCAAACTACAGGAACAATTTGAATACGAGAGGGTAAAAACTGGGACAAAATATCTCGTATATAAAGTTCTATTGATAAAGCTGAGCAGTTTCCTTCTAAAAAAATGAACCTTTTTTATCAACTTAAGTACGCTGGCATAAGGTATGGCACGTGGGCGCACGTGCTGAGTCCCTGTGGTGAGCCCCATTTTTTTAGGGGACCTACTCTTTATTCACTCGAAATTCACAATACAAAATGAGGTATGTTAAGGGGTTGAAATTTTTTAGGAATAAAAAAAAATTAATCGCCTGCTACAGTGGGGCGCTTCTGACCTTGAAACGCTTATGGCGCGTGGTGTATGACACACATTTCGTTCGAAAGAATCGAACGAAACATTTGAGTTTCTTTCTCAGATTTTTAGGCGATTGTGTTTTTATCTAAACGTTACTATTTATAACTGAATTTCTGTTTAAGTTGTTATTATTGCGTACAGAAATATATTGAGATGGATGTTTCATACATTAATATAAAACATGCTTTGCTTTCTTTTTTGATGAGAAGGAATGTACTTTATTTTTTTACATGTTTGTTGA